ACATGTTATTATAAGACATGGCAACAAATAAACCAAAGAAATATCCAATTCCAATCTCCAAATGTCAATGCTACAAGAAGCCATTTTATTCACAAGACCTGACAAAGTCATATCTTACAATCAACTTAAAGGCAAGTGTGTACACAAATTAAGTGCTATGATGATGACAGCACACTTAAAAATATCAATGGCATAGAATACATTATTCACAGCATATTTCAAATTCAATGGCTAGGTTTTAGTATCTTTTGTCAGTTACATGGTAATACAATCAACCAACTGTTACAATTTATAAAACAAAACATATATTGTAGAGTATACTATTAACATTAACTAAGTCATGCTGGATTTAGAATGACAAGTTGAACCATACAAATAATGAAATTGATCTTGCTATGAACTATGAGATTCTCTCACTGGAAAACAGTCACACACACAAACAAACAAACAACTGTTATCTTTGATTAACTTTTAAAAATTTGATCAACTCCTCATCCACCCCCCACCCAACAAAAGAAAAAAAAAAGAAGTTAGAAGATGAACACCAATATGATACAGGCAGTCTAAAGTAATAAAAAAAGATCAAATCTGGCATATCAAGTAATGGTGTAAGATGGTTCCACCAAAGAGTTTGTCATGACTCACAAAAGCCCAGTAATCCTAAACCAAATATAATAAACTCTTACACATGACGTGGATAAAACTCTGTATTTACACCAAAATATACACTGTACAAATTATTATACAAGAATATACAATTTATCTACTAATACCCTATTTGAGCTGGGAAACAACTAGTCAAATGTTAATCAGGTAGTGAGATATTTTTGACTTGTGGATAAATTTTGTTTTTATAAGTTCATGTGAATTGACTCGCTTGAAAATCCTGTAGCAGCAAATAATAAAGAAATTAAAATAAAATTCAGTCCAGTCCTCCATTCCTATTCTATAAAATATCCAGCAAGAGTAGTTCTGAAACTCTTACCAGTCAGGATTTTGAAGGTCTAAACTTCTAACATTACAAGGGAAAATGGAGTCCAGTTAAGCAGACGCATTGCGTTTATATTTATTATACGATACTGAATATTTTATTTATAAAAAAAATTGGAATTTATTACATATTCGTCTTTAAACACATTGTAAATAAAATTTGCTGATAATGATTATGTGGGTGCCTGGGCTCTGACATTCAAAAGCTTGGAAAATTAGAAAATTAAGAACTTTTTTTAAACTGGGAGATCTTTCGACAGTTTTGATTTCTTGGCTGCTATACTACTATTAGGTTAAAAATAATTGAAAAAAAACCATTCATTACAAGCCCAAATTTACATCAATGTTAAAAATTCACATTTCTAAGATTTTCTAAAATTAATTCCAATCAATATATGATACAGCCCTCCTAGTTCATTTATTATTAGTAAAAGATCCATCCAACTTACATATATATATTTTCAGATCTTTCAACGCACACAAAACATCAAAATGGTCAATACATTTGCGTAGTTCAACTACATCAGTCATTTGAGTAAACCAAATTCAAAAAGATGCATTTTAAAATGTATTTGTAAATTGCGCATATCACTTTTAAATGGTCACATGAAATGTTTGAAGACAATATTTCAGACTAGCATATATCAAAATATCATGGAGACGTCATTAAATAAAATAGTTATCAGTGAAGATGAAATATTAATACAAAGTTTAAATATATATAAGAGATGATGTTTCACTGTCAGGTTATATTTGTACTTAAATGGCCATGAACAATTTTGTAAACTGACATCCTGTAGATGATTGTTAATTTTTTCACCGCTTTCACATCATTAACTTTCAAAAGCGTTAATATTGGTAAAGTGAACCACAGAGCAGTGTATTTCTATTTGACCGCAACTGAAGATTACATTTTTTAAATACAACTTCAGTTTATATGTTAATAGATCCCAATCCTAAAAAGAATGAACAACTGATAAAATAATACTTCCCCATACTATGACTGCAACATGACACAAATCTGAGAGCTGACCATAAATTAGTGTGGTGATATTATTAATATCTTTAAACTGAATTTTTTAGGGGATAGCTTAATAAATTAAACATCTTTGCATTCTTGATTTCCTTAATTATTTACATAGTTAATGCGTTTGATAAGCTACCAAATTATTGACAATGTGTAATGATTGAACACTGCTAATAATTTAGTCCATCATGTGAAGCATATTACACAACCTCTGTAAAAATTATCCTAAAAATGCTGAAAAATCAAGAACAAACACTGGAAACAAATTAATATAAGAAGTCATTCGTTTCACAAATGTACTGAAGTTTAAAAAAAGAAAAAGACAACAACAAAAAACCACCTCTCATTAGTGCACTTGTAAAATAAATTAAAAGACTGGTATGCAACAGGAAGCCCTAGACTTGAAAGATATGAAAGATTATCAATGTATCCTAAGCACAGGTAGATGAATTAAGGTTAGGGACACATTGAAATCACATCTTCTCTTACTTCCTCAAAAAAAAAATTTAGAACATTTTAAAAGTAAAATGGTACAAACATCAGCTTACTTCTACTTATGCCACTGCATGAAAGCTAAATTTAGCAAACAGTCCCTTAAGGCATATATGTTTAAATCAAATACACGAAAGACGTCCTTAAACCAGAGGTGACATTTAAAAAAAAGTTTAAAAAAGAACACAGATTATCCTATTAATGGCCCAGCAAAGGGTCCAGTTAATTCTTATTTCTTTTGATGCTGTGTACACCACCGACTTCAATCTTAAGCTCAAAAGATTTTGGTTATCAATGTATGCAAATCTATATTTATTGTTGGATGCATTTAAATATAATTTGAGGTACCCGGCAAAAGTTAAAGAAAACATCATCCCACCTGTGGTTTTTATGGCGTTATATTTTATGACTGCATGGATCTCATTTTCTTATTAATGATAATCTTTCAAGTTATGTATGACTTGAGCTTGGAATTAAGGTCAAGGAAGCCACACAAAGTAGTAAAATTCAACAAAAATATTTGTTTAAAAAAAAAAATAATTTGTTTTTTTAATTGTGACATGGGCTTAATGATAGTACTTTTCTTAAATTACATCTAGTTCAACAATTTAAAGGAAAAGCTGACGGTGGTCGCTTCTTAATTTTTCATTACGAGGTATGGATTTTTCCTAAAAACTTGACAACTGTCGTTATAACTTTCCATTTGATGTAACATGACAGTGAATAATAATTTAACATCAATAATAATTGAAATATCCTATGCACCAAGATATAGAGCATTCATGAGTAGTCATCACCGTCATAGTCCTGTCATTTTTTGCTCTAGTCAGTTATAAAAAAGCCCAAGTAATTTTCAAATGCAAATAACTAGCAATTACTGTAAGAGATAAAGTGCATCCATACAAAATAATATTCACATAATTAACGCTCTATTGGTATGTGTACTGGAAAATGGGTTTCCCATTATTGTGAATGTAAAACTCACTCATTGCATCTTAGAAAGGTGGCAAAAGGTTTTTTTAAAAAACAAAACAACAAACCCACCAATAATAAAAAAATACTCAAAAACACTGGCATCATAAGGAACGTAAGTCTCACAATAGAAACAGAACCCTTGGCTGGCCAGTAGTTATAAACTATTTACAAACAACTTTCATTTTTTTTTTGTAAAGTGTCTAAATAAACAGTGAGATATTGTAAAAATACATAAGTAATGCAGAGTCTGGCTAGTTTAAACTATGCCTGTCCTTCTATGGAAGAGACATAACTCCTTAATACTTGGTCACTTTCAAATGGGATAACCTCATGACACAAATAAATGAGCACAATTCACAAAACAAATAAAAAAACCTATTTGAAAATGTCACATCATGATTTAAAAATTATCAAAAGTAAGATGCTATTTTTCTACTGTGCTACTACAGGATTAATTTTTTTTTAATTTATGACATGCAAAAGTATAATTCCATAAATCTGCAGAGGGTAAAAAAAAAAATGCAATTTGTGGAATAAGAAATTAGCAATTCATGAAGGATCCCTTTCATATTATATAATGATTATTTATGTATTAGAAATGCTACTGACAACCACTGAAAATAAAGAGCAGGCCTTAAACATTTATTAAAATAATACTTATTTCATCACTCAATCCTCCCACAGGCAAGATTATGTTCACTCATGTTCTAGCTGCTAACATAAACATAGTATGTTTACATAGAGCTTAAGCAGTGTCAGGCAAAACAAATTTCCCCTTAGGAAATTAAACAATAAGAACTCTAAAGATACTTTTGTATCAATAGTAACAAAACAGAAACAGTGATGATTACACAGGGGGATCTGAAGTAATATTCTCAACACTTTTAACAATGATGGGAATATTAGCTATAAAATAATTATATGAGAGAAAAAGGGAGGATAGCGCAAAATATTAAAAAATCTTAAAAATTTAGAAACTTGGGGAAAAAATAATTTGCCAACAAATATCTGATATAAAAGATGTAATTAAAGTAAAAACTTAATTTAACTCTCGAATTTAGTTGAAAAATATTTAGTGTATCACTTTATACCCATTCCCTTGCTTAATTACAATACTCAATGCCACTAAAACACAGCTGGAACCTTTTGATTTCACATAATTTAATACCGGCAATAAAGGTTGCACAATATTCTGTTGAAAAAGCAATTCCTTTAAGTCAGAAATGGGTGCCTGAACAAGCAGCTATTGAATACAATGATGAATGAGTTGTAGAATAATAACCTAGTGACCAATCTCTCTATGATGAAACCACGTGACAAAGCCTTTAGTTTTTCTTGTATGACATGTTATTAAAAAAAATATCTCTTTTATTTAACAACCCCCCCCCCCCAAATGAGTTGTAAAATAATAACCTAGGTACCAATCTCTCTATGATGAAACCACGTGACAAAGTCTTTAGTTTTTCTTGTATGACATGTTATTAAAAAAAATATCTCCTTTATTTAACCCCCCCCCCCCCTCTCTCGAATTTCACTAGAAAAGTCTCTATTCCTCAAATTAAAAAACAGAAGTTACACTGAATGAAAGTCCTAGGCAAATTGGGTAGCAGGAAGCAAAACATTTTTATTTCCACTTTATAATTCAGCTGTTCAATCATTTTGAGCACCCATAATCAGCTTATTTTAAGTATCTTGATTCAATGAGGATATATAAGTCCTTATTTCAAACTGTATGTTCAAGACATTTTGGTCCTAAACAACAGTTCATATATCCTTGCAGCCTTTCCCTGATGTAGCTTGTCCTCAAAGAATAGGTTGTTGATCTTCAGGCAGTCTTTCAACGTATGTGACAGGAAACATACCTTCCTGACCATTCAGCTCCCCTCGCCACCAGCTTTCATCCACTTTCTGTGTTACTTTAATGATATCCCCTTTCCTAAATCCAAGTTCATCACACCCTTGTGCATCAAAGTCAAAGATAGCTCTCACACGTTGGACCTATAATATAAATTTAAATGTGTCAAAATTCTCATCTTGTTAAATAAATCTACATTTAGGCCATATTACACCCAGATATAAAAGGATAATAAAATACAACACATGAAACTGGTATAAAAAGCCCTCAACAACTTACCTCTAGATCATGGTTGACCATATCCTTAAAATAAATGTCATGGGATCTACTAACTGTAGCTTTTCTGTGGTAGTTTACTAGCTCATTAATTGAATTGAATTTTACAACCCAAAGGAAATATTTTCCACCACCATCTCGTAATACTTTGAAATGTTGAACTCCATTCTGAAACCTGTAAGAAAGATATAAATAGGTCATTTAAATAGACACTTGTAAGTTAAACGGTTACAGCTTTTAAAGATAAAATTATAAGTAATTCAATAATCATACTAAAAAACTTACTTGACAGTTATTGAGAACTCTCCAGGGGCACTTTCACTATTTCTTACAAGGAAGGCACCATCAGGTTGCTCAGTTCTTAAAAGCATCTCTTCAGCTTTTGTCCTAGATACCTTTCCTACATACCAGCTAAAATAATTAATGTTTTAAAAATCAGTTACTACTTTTTACAGCTGTAAAGCAACTTCAATCCTTTACAGTTAAACCTATAAATGTGAGAGAAAAGCACTAGAAATAATAAAAGAAAATACTTTTTTTGTTTTAAAAAAAATAGTTAAGTAGTATTCAAAAGAATTTGATTACAATACTTTAAAAAATAGATTACTTACGAATGTGGGCACATTTCAATATAATTATGTGGAACATATCCTTCTTTGCCATTCAGTTCGGCTTTATACCAATTTTTATCATCAAATGTGCTGAGAATCTAAAAAGATTTTTAAAAATCTCTAGAGTAAATGAAAAGAACTAAAATTTTGAAATTTTAATATTATTAAAATATTTATTTATTTATTTTTTTGTGTCATTCATTGCTTAAAAACCATGAATGTTAAAGTAAAACCAATGAGGGCATTGACCAAAAAATTCTGTCCCTGGCGTACAGCTGTATAGAAGGTTCTGGACCTGAATATCTTAAAGAACTGATTTCTAAACATGTATCCTTAAAAAAACTCATGCTCTTCAACACAGTCCTTACTGAGAGTTCCCAGTGTGGATGGACACAGAAAAAAGTCATACGGAGTGCGCTATAGCACCAAAATTATGGAACAGTTTGCCTCAATCTTTGAGGGAAATTGAAAATGATAAAAAAATCATTTAAGAAATATTTAAAGACATTTAAAATAAATAGATATTAGGACTTCAGAGCACTGTGAGCATGCTAAAATAGCACGGATACAAGCACTATTTAAGTATTCAATCATCAACACCATCAAATTATAACAAAATGAATATGTTTCTGCAGTTTATAACTATAATTTATAGTTTCTCCATATATGAAGTTAATGAAGAGATGAAATTGAAGAGGAGATGGTTGGTTAACAGTTTGGTGACAAAAGTGTTAAAAATGATTTGGAAAAAGGCTTCAACAAACATGACCATTAATGAATGAAGATAATTTATTACTATACTGGTACCAGTATATATATAATTTAAAATTTATTTTGTATTATTATAGCGTAAGAGTGGAATATTGGACTAAGAATTGGACTATGCTTGCCGACACAGTATTTTGTTGTCAGAAAATAAAGGGCATGACAAATAGCATGTGTAACAGTAACAACCATTTTTCACCCAATATTTTTTGAATAGTTCATTATTACTAAGTTCAAATGGACCGAAAGTTAATCCATCAATATGTTTGTTCTAAAGCTTAAAGTAATTTTGGATTAGCTTTAATCAGTCCTTTTTTTGGTAAGTTAAAAAAGGAGCCGGAACTCACATTTGTTTAATTGGCCCCCCTGATGTTTGCGTGAGGGGTGATTGGCCTTCTCGCCCCCTTCTTCGCATGGGTATGAGGTTATAGATGGATGGGGGGCCTTAATTTTTAATGCATCCATGTCCCTTGATATGAGAGGGTGTTTATAAAAAGGCAGGAGCACTTATATTAGTTGATAATTTTTTCTCCCCCCCCCAGACTGTGGCTTGAACCCACAATGGAGAGAATACCGGTAAAGAGTTACAAAAACACATCTAAGTACAGAGAAATAAAAAGAAAGAAGTTTGCCAATAGTGAGCTATTATCTTTGACCTGTATTAGAACATAGGCCTAATAACTAATAAGCCTAATCCTAAGCCTAATCCCTTAGCACAGGGGCTCTTAACCTTTTTGCAGCACTTTACCCCTTCTAGATTAAAAAAATTTCACACAATTTATTACATGACATATATGAGCAGTTTTCAGTTGTTTTCTTGTCGAGGTCCCATGTCTTACTAGCCTAATTCACCACTAGATTTATAAAATTATAGTGTGGTATAGGCCTGCAATTTTCTGTTTTCTTTGAGTCTTCTGCTCTTTCCCTTGTTCACTTAACACCTCTTACAAGTCAAAAGTAGTGTAGTAATTTGTTTTCAGTTCTCTGACAAATTCTCTATTTTTTATATTTTTTCAAATTTTCCCTACTCTCACAACTTCTACTACAGTACAACAGGCAAGTACTGGATAGGCTACTAACTACCCCTTATTACTATTACTTATAGCTTATTCTGTTTTATTTTTCAAATAAAAATACTAGTACTAGTGTTAGAGTAGAGTACTAGCCTCAGCCTGACCTATTAAGCCTATTATATTATTATCATAGCATTATTACTCCCTGTGCTATCCAATAGAGCAAAACTGTAGCCTACCATCTTATCAAGTAAGTAGAAAATACAAATTCTTCTCCTTTCATCTCTCAACATCAATTACAAGGCTCCAACTAAATAGTCTAAAACTCAAGACAAAAATTTAATGATTTAAAAAAAAAATATACTGATGTCTTGTTTAATATAATATTAGTACATTATAATTTGAGAACAACTATGCCCAATGGGGTCTTTAAATTTAAAGAAATGGCTTAATCCAATGGTTTATAAATGTAATATGCCCTCAATCTACCTTCAAGATGTTTCCTTTTTTAAAACTAAGTTCATCGTCAGCTGTCGCAGTGAATGGGTGTAGTGCCACCGCCTCCATTTTGTCGAACGGACGGCACTATTTTCTATTCTTCTTCTAAACTGTGTTCCTACGCAAGATCAGGAAGAACAGTGGGTTCCAAATAATATGATTAAACTAAATCTGGCATTAAATGTGAATTAATGTCAACCATAAATTGTTAAATAATGGTTTTAATTTAACACAATGTTATAGCTGCATCACTCAAATAATCAGACGATGCGTCATCGACACGACAGTCTTAGGTCAGAGCTGCTCCTGAATGTAAACCATTTAATTATTTTTCTTGTCCTATTCCTACACTTATTTTGAAAAAAACAATAACATCCGTATTTGTCTAAAATCACAAGCTTCGTTCATTTAACTGAAACTTGTTTGGTTAAGTGCCGCGGCGCACTTCAAACCTGAAAATTGAACTATAATTAAAATTTTGTGGATCAGAAAATGAGCATAGTATAACAAACATGCAAGCAAAATAAGACATAACCAAAAAAAAAACATAAATTCGATACGTAGGGATATATTAATAACTAAATTAAGAAGAATTTATCTTGGCCTTTGCCTTTGTGCCTCTGGAGTCTGTCTGTAAGTTGTAAGTTATTAATTGTAATTGACACTTTCAATTTCAATTTAAAAAAAAATAAAATATTCTCATCCAGTCTTGTCATTGTAGAAAGAATGAGAATGGCTTAGTTAGGCCTAGGCTTAGTTTATAAAGTGTGGCCTCATTTATATAAATATAAGCGTAGGCCTAAGCAATAATAATAAAGTTTAGTTTATTTAAAAAAACATGCTTCATCCCCAAAAGCTTGAACTTGAAGTGTGGTACAATTACAAAGTCAACCACATTATAAAGAGAAATAAAAACAATCTAAAATTTACCACATTTAAAAAACAGACGCAACAATATAAAACTACACTCGAGCATACCAAGTCAAAGTCTTTCATCCCGTTTCAACCATAAGCGACACAGGCCAATATACATTAACTGAAAAAGATGGTAGATAGCATAACCCCAGAAAGTGTTCGCGAAATAGATGTGTTTTTAAATCGGTTTTAAAGGACTCCAGTGTCTGGCTGTTTCTGAGAGCGACTGGAAGGGCGTTCCAAATTGTTGGACCGGCAAATGCAAAATTGCGCTTTCCGTAAGTCTCAAGGCGAACACACGGTATCAATATTTTGCCACTATCGGATGAGCGGAGCTCTCTAGTGGGTACATAAGGCGTCATGAGTGCTTTGAGATAAGATGGCGCCAGGTCATGTAAGCAGTGGTAGCACAAAGTTGCAATTTTGTACTCTAATGACTTTATAAACTAAGCCTAGCCTAAATAAGCCATTCTCATCCGAGAATGACATGACAGGATGAGAATATTTTTATTGAAATTGAAAGTGTCAATAATACGAGACAGAGGCCAAGCTTAATTCTGGTCAATGCAGACAATTGGTACCATGAAGTGCCACACGGCCGCTATCTTGGTTGCCACGACCCGTGAACTTTTACAATTCACTGTCACTAAACCTAACCTGCCTAAATGTATCCCTAAACCTAACCTGAATCCTTCTTCTTCTTCTATATTTTAAGGGCCCACGATCAATTTATTGATCATTTTGGCTCCTATGCATGTAGATGGGATTTGCAATGTTTCTGTTACTGGTGGTGATGAGGAAATTATGCACTAGGGGTTTGAAGGCTTGAGGCAATAGACACAAAATTGGGCAGGAATGAGCAGCTCCTATACTGGCTTCTTGCTGGTATGAGCCTGAATTGCCTGTCATGGCCTCGTCGCTGTCTATGGGGGAGAGGGACGAGTTTCTGTTTAATACCGGAACAGTGGACCAGCCCATTATTTATCTTGTACATCATGGAGAGCCTGATTGTATCCCTAAACCTAACCTGAACCCTAAATGTATCCCTAAACCTAACCTGAACCCTAACTAAATATATCCCTAAACCTAACCTGAACCCTAAATTATGTATTCCTAATGACATGACGTCATGGCACCAATTCTCTGCATTAGCCCGATCGATCTTGAAATGGCAGTCTGACTGCACTTTTGCCTTTGCATGAAAGCCTTGGTTTACTTTGCCTTATCTGTAACTGTAATGCTCTTTTTTGTAGCTAGCAGTAGCAACCAATGGATTCAATGACTCAATTTCAATGGTTTTGTTTTTCACATCTTCTGTCTGCTTGATTCCCATATTCATTGCAGCAAGCTGCAGTTCAGATTCAGTGTTATTAGCTGGAATGGTGATCAATTTCAATGTTGGCTTCTCTCATTTTCTTTTGCATATTCTTACATCTTTAAGTCTTGCTTGCTCTCAATCTTTCCAAAAATATCTGTGAATTCTCTTTACAAGTAAATTATATAGCCTAACCAGCAAAGGCAACTCTTACCAAGAGAACATGCTGCACAAGTAGCAATTTTACTATAAAAATACTCTGAATACTGTTGTTATACTATAGGCTACTAAAGTTAGCAAAGTAAATATTACTTCAATTAATACTATTATTAAAATCAAGTTAAAAAATAAATATAAAATTAAAATTAATGTTACATTATCAATGCGGTTATTATCATTATATAAATAAACTAGAATGTCGCCCGTGCAAAGGGCTAATCCATAATTTGCCATTAATTAATCACTAAATTTATAAATTTTTCTCAAGCTTGGTGGGGGTGCAATTTTAGTTCTAGCCATGTTGCTATATGACCGACACCTACTTATGTTTAATAATTATGTTGGTCTTTAATGTTTTGAGCAATTTTAATGAAGGGATCACTTAGTAGACAGTTTTTTTCTTAACTCTATTGCATCAAATTTTTATATATCAATTTATATAAGACTAACATTTTTATTTATTTACAAATTATTTTACTCATTTGCCTATTGTTTTTTATGTTATTGTATTTAAACATTCTGGGGTACTATAAAACCACCTAATAATAATAATAATTTTTAACAGTTTAAATATCAAGTCATGGGAAGCAAAACAAAGAGGTTATTTGAACATATGCGAAGCATGTTTGAAAAGCCAAGTTCATCAACAGTTAAGTGTTACTATTTCTAAAAATTTTTTTTATATTTCACATTTTTATGCTTAGTAAATTTAAGTATATTTGTCCAAAAGTCTTTTTGTCTTCATGTAATAATTAAATGTTAGAAAATTCTATATTGATGACACTTTTCAATTAAAATTTAATGTTTCACTTCTACAGACCTGTTTACTCTTATGATTTTGGCGTACAATGAACGATTTAGAGGTGTATAATTATATATACTGTATGTTTATTTTTTTTTACCTTTAAGATAATGTATTGAACAATTGTGATAATATTGTACGATTTTAAGAGTTTGAGGGTAAACAGGTCTGCTTCTAGAATCTAGTCACTAGGAATCTGGCATTAACCCATTCCCTGTATTAATGCTGATTTTTGAGTTGATAGCTTTTTATAGAACAACAAATAAAAAATTGTCATTAATAATGTAAATATAAATAATATCAAAATTATTTATATATTTAAATGGATTTGAATGCATCAATAAATATATAATTTAAATGCAATTCTTTTAGACTATAGTATACTACTGAAACTTTGATTTGGATGTTTTTATATTCAGTGAATCAAAAAACAAAGTGCAGACTTAGAATTAGATTGACTATTTGAAGAAAAATGCTGTAGTAAAACTAAAAAAAAAAATTGGATGATACATCCTTCCCACTTCATTACAGAAGCCTAAGATCAGCTCAACCAGAATAAATTCTTTCACTTAAAGTTAGGCAGTTAGGACCGAAAGATATAAAAATTATTTTGTTCCCCAGTCTATACAAATTTACCAGTGTGTTCCCCCAGTGGTTATCAAAGCTAAATGATCACTAATTAAGCCAGTATTTTCACTAAAGGAGTTAATTCATGGCTTATTTCTATGCAAAAGAACTACTTTAACATGTCTTGTTTTTAAATTATTATAACTGTAAAATGTTTTAAAATATGTTTTTATTTATATGCTGAAAATGAATATAATATACAATGCAATAAAAAACATTTCCATTCATTTGGATCAATAACAGAATCTTATCTCTTATGTTAATAATTAACACGTAAAAAAGCCAGAGCATATCTCTATAATATTCAATCATGTCATAACCATGGAATCAGGACAAGGATTGTTTTAGACATAGGTGGGATTTAGAATAATGTGTAAAACTGTTATTACATTTTAATTTAAATCAATCAGTCATATAACACATGCAAAAATCTAAATGTGATTAATTTTATCTTTAAAAAGATAGTTTTATTATCACTAATAAATGGTGTTATATATGTTTTATTAAAATTATTTATATAGAAATAGTTTCAATTTTACAACATAAGTCAGCTTGAATTGCATTACAAAATTCAAATTTTAGCCATGGTTCCATTTTGCGAACGTGAGTGGAGAGAATTTAGGCATACAGAGGGCATCAATTTTTGTGTGCTGTAAAGTACGGTACTTAGGACATTGGATATCTTGAAGGTATTTTTTTTTCATGTCAAGTTAAATTTTGAAAAGAAAATTATGAGAGCATTCTAGGAGCACTAATGATAAAACATTCTTTTATATCCCTTTCATAACAGATTTTTTTTTTTCCTTGACAGAGAGTTTCTAATTTGCTGCCACTGGGAGTCATGGAAGAAAGTGATACCCTAGGATCTTCACTACATAGAGAAGCAATTGTAGGAAACAGACGTGCCTTGAAGAAAATTTTACAAACATGTATGCTATTTAAATATTAATAATGTCTTTTAAAAGCAACATAATAAAGAATTTTTCGCCCTCAGCGAAGACAAGATGCTGCTATTAATCTTAAATTTTTTTAAAACCAACCATTTGAATGCTTTTTAGATAAACTTAATCCAGGTCTTTAGATGGAAACTGAAATCTATAGTAAACTGTTTTTATGAATGAATATAGGCCTAATATGCTAAATAAAATGTTGAAAATAGATAGCCTTTTGGGGATTAGAAACCCTGTTAACTTCTTAATATCCATGGCCCCGATTAATTTCAAAAATATAATGCAACATATCCTCTTACCAGCCCTTTGAGAAACACGCTTAAAAAAATGATATTTATCTTTTCCTTTAAAGCAATATGTGTTGATTATCCAAATGACAAGGGTCAAACTCCTTTGTTTTGTGCTTGTGCTTGTGACAGTGAATCTACAGCGCTCCTCCTCCTGCAGCATGGAGCTAATCCCAACGAGTGAGAAAAAAAACCTTTTTGATAACATTTATTGGCTTTTAGTGGCAAAGGTTTTATTCATATTAAATGTGATACCAATGAAGAATGTTGCTAGTCTTTTAGATTAAAAGTGGCCATCAATAAATGATGTAATGCAAGGGGGGGGGGGGTTCGTCAAATATCTGTAAGCAATTTGGTGTCACAAAATAGTAAAACTGAATTGAAACAACTTGCTCTAAATTACAGTAGTATTTATCGTAATTTATTTTAACCAATCTTAATTATAAAATGTTAATTCTTTGTGGTTTGTGGATGCTTGATTTTTTTTTATTCAATGCTTACACCGTCATTATTTTACTGAGTAAATTCTTACTGTGGAGAGCAAAAAGGCCGTCACAGGTGTGCTTCTGACGATCAAGTTACACGATGGAGCTGAGGACAATGGTTAAAGGGGCAGTGGCAATTGCCAGCCTGGATAAATAATGGCGAAGGGGAAGTAGGGAAAGGCTTATGTGAATTGGGAAGGAAAAATAGCTGAAGAGAAAACAATGATCTTAGAAATGTTCTAGGGCAGATGTTCCCAAACTTTTTTGAGTCAAGGCACTCTTGCTGCATCCAGGTTTTCCCCAGTGATATCCTATGTCAAATTCTAACAATAATATGGCAAAATTGCACATTTGTAAAGATTTTTTTTAAATATCACAGCCCCTATGAGACAGCCCCTGCACAGGATTCCACAGCTTGCAGTTTGGGAAACTCTTTTCTAGGTCAAATGTTTCTGACACAGGTGGGGTAATCGATTAGGCCTGGATATGGGATAGGAATCTTTTAGAGTTTGTCAACTACAAGGTTAAGACAGTAGTTGGACAGAAAGAATTTCTCTTCTCAACTACACTAAAGAGAGGAAAAATAAGCACAATTTCATTTAAAAATCATCTGGAAACTGCCCATTTATTATTTGTACAATCTACAACTAAAGTTATTTGAAACATTAGTTGAACCAAAACATTTTTTAAAATTGATTAATGAAGTGGTGTGGTGGGGTTGTGACTTAAATTTGGAAAGGTTGGGAGGGGGGGAACTCTGCATTTTTGTGACAATGGTGGAAGTGGGGTAGAAAATCTATGAAATTTGCATGACGTCATTTATGGATGGCCCCAAATGTCATAATTTTTGTCAAAAGGAACTTTGAAAATTTGAGTTATTAGACAAAACATTGCCATTACTATTTGTATGATTTTAAAACCCCTATGGCAATTATGTAGCCCTATTTTAAAAAGTTGTAGACGTCTTTCCGAATCTGAAAAGCATTTGTAAATTAATATTTGCATTTTCCAAAATCTTTTTGTTCCTTTTGGGCGGTGGTTCTCAAAGTGGACGTTAAAGAAAATTTAGCTATTGAAATTAATATGAAATAAATTTAAGAATAAAATGGGAAGAAAGAGAAAAAAAGGTAAACAACACAGTTTGGAATGTCATAAGTATGGATTTATACAAGCACAAACAAACAATCAGATGCCAATGTGATGATTTGCATCAAAATTAATTCAGTTCAATATTGACCGTCCTGGGTTATTCCCTGTCTGAACTAGAAGAGAAAGGTGGGATACCAGATAATGATCATAAGTATTTTGTGACCATTTGGTTATGCTACATAAAGAGGAAGAAAATAATTTAGGCACCATATTTAACTGACATTCCAGATTGGGTGATACATCCATTTTCCAATACTGAGACAGTTGGTGTAATTGAAGAAGAGTTAATTCAAGTTTCAGAAAATGATATAGAGCCGATTTTTAGTTCAGTGGCTCATACCCAAGTTTTGGCTACAAAAAGAAATTTCAAATCACTATCCTGCACTGTGGAATGGGGTTAAGAAACTTCTTGTTGATGTTGCCTTTCCCACATCGTATTTGGTGGAACATGGTTTACGTGTGGTTGTTCAACCTCGTTCCAAGTGAAAGAAATAGGCTGCAGATCACTGATTTAAGAGTTCTGTTAAGTGACTTTCAATCAGACATTGAAAAACTGGTGTCACTTGACAAAGCCCACCCAATGCATTAAGGGGGGACAGGTAGTCAAAATGCTAAAATTTTAAACACATGACTAAGACAGAATATTTTTTGCTAATCACATTGCAAAAGCAATAAAAACACTTAAAAAAACCAATTGGGACTAATTAATTATTTTTTTTTATGCTTTTGATGAGAAAATAGGGGTAAAATTGAGCAATTTTATATACTTACAGGAAACAGCGTAGCTCAATAACCACCAATAAGAATTCAATGAAACTTGGCATAAATATTAAAAATAGGACATTGCACAATGTGATAGAAGGAAATTAGCATAACTGAAAAAATAATTTTTTTGTGAATTTTTTAAAATTATGTCAAAAAATAATCCATCATTTACGTAAACTGTTCTATCAAAATTCAAAATAATTTTTTTGTCTCTTAAAATAGAATAAAAACCCTCTATCACATTGTAGATAAACATGTTAGGAACATGTGGTGCAAATTTCTTTATAATCTGATAGGTTGTTTCTGAGATACACTGCTTCCAATAACCTGACCCTCGTAAAATTGACACAAATGAGAAAATGCAAAAAGAAGTTTTATTATTGAAATAATTTATTTTTCAAATAATTAAAGTGGCATAAAGTTATATTATTATATCACCTTGGCTTCTTGAAAATATGATACATCAAAAATATATTTAAAAAGTCTTTCTGTGGAAAAAATATAACTGATTCTCTAGCCCACCCCCCAAAGAAAAAAAATGCGAAAAATTTAAATAAATCTGCTCTGAGATAAAACTGCCTCTTTTCCTCTTATGTGTTGTGGAACCTCTTCTGAGCAATAGCTGACTGCCAACAGTAACATGTCTTTCCAGTAGGGCAGTCATGGTGTTTAGGGTTCTCATCAGGCCAGGCAGCTGCAAGCATGCGGAAAATGTCAGAATATTCCTCCGAAGGTCTTTTCATCTGTAACTTTCGATGGCCACTGCATTCTCACAGGGCCACTGCTGAAGATTCATTTTATCTGTTAAAAATGTATATATAATTACACTTTGCTCCATCAACAATAAATATAGTAACAGCATTACATTTTTTTTTATAAATGCAGATAGATAATATATTGAGCAGCTGTTCGTGGGGCCTGTAGAGATGACAATATAAAAAAACAATTATATATCATTATGATATAAACCTTACAATACTTCCAGTCTTACACTTACACCCACCTGGCATCAGGTGTCATGGCACTCTTAGATTCTACTGCCACCATGTTTCCAAGAGTAGTACCTGTTCGAAGCAAGCTGTACTTTTGGCTCGCAGAATCGCTGCTTGTTTTCTTGGTGCCATTTCACTGCAAATAAATCAGAACAATTTAATTTTAGTCATCAAGGTAAAGAAAGGATTACAAATGAAGTGGTTAATTCCTTATCTTTTAAATTGTTGATGATGAGAGAATTCAATCAAACCCAACAACACCCACACACCTTTCAAATAACTAACCTCAAACAAATTTTTTTTTTTTTTTTTTTTTTTTTTAGTTTACACTCAATTCTTGACAAGTAAATAAGCACATAATAAAATATATCTGGTTAATGATAGTTATTAAATATTAAAACTTTGAAACAAGTATATATATATATAATTGATAATTTAGTTAGTTTCAGAACTGAAATGGCCCTTGTCCTAGTATTTATAATAATTTGTATGGGTAGGTTGTCACTACTGACGGTGAGAAAGCACGACGTTGACGATACTGATACTAGTACTATTACTAAAACAATTTTTAATAATGAAATGGTAAATCATACTACATCCATATTTACCTTTGGCTTGTTATTGAACAAATATAGTGAGCACGAAAAGAGCAGCCTTTGATAAATCCAATGTAAGTCTGACAAACGGTGGATAGTTTTATCAACACAGAATGGTTGCGAAACGAAAGTAACCGTGTTGCATTTCGGTATACGGTAACCCAATTTGTGCTATTTTTGGTAACATTACTTATAGTTGACCAATGAAATTACAGGCTTTACTACACGATGACGTAGAAGCCGTCTAAACACACTTTTACAACAAATGTGACGTATTGCACAGCTCGCTTCTCTTTGTTAGGTAGAATGATTTTGAGATAAGTAGGTCACAGTTGTAGCCAGTGGTCTAAGCTTTCCAAAGAGGCCTAACAATAGGCATTAGGCTTGAAGGAATGCGGTTGTAAAGGGTTTTAAAATGACCATAACGTGTCGGAAAGCCGATTTTCCTGAAATGGTTGCCTAGATACGTGTTATATTAGGACAAATTATGTACTTAGAACAATTATTTTTAGCAAATTTTATTTGTGGATTGTGTTTATAAGAGGTTATTGTAACCAAATATACACTTTTTGGAAAATTGAAAAAAAAAAAAAAAACATGATTTTTACGTAAAGTTGACTACCGGTCCCCCCTTAAGAACATTTGTACAATGTAGAAAGCTAGTCACTAATTTTAAGTGTTGTATAAACAATTCTTGATTTTTAATCGTCCTAATTTAAATGCTGTGGATCAAGGTAATCAATTTTATTTGTAAAAGATTCAAATATATGTTACAGTTTTTAATTTTATGATTTTGTAATTTTCCTTAAGGCTTGAGCAAAACTACTGTTCTGAACAGTTATTTTAATGGGTGGTAGGGATGTGCTTATGGCCTGGAAAAAAAGGGTGGGGGGGCAAGTGTAAAAAAATGTAATAACCACTACTTTAAGGGTAAGATTAAGACCTAATAAGATCTGCCAACTTTGGCCATTCAATGTTAGTGTCAGTATTTTAATTTAAAAAAACTAGAAAGAATGTTGGTGACAAATTGAGTTACAGATATTGAAGAAAAGTGAAAGGGATTTGTAAACACAATTTTCTTATTAATTTCTTATCATGTTTTTTTTTCTTCATACCTGCTGTACATTGAGATGGCATGCATCACTTTTCCTATGTTGAATGTTCCTATAATCAAATTCACTTGATCATCAATAAGAATCTTTTATTTTTACTCTAAATGGATCCTAACTGGTAACATATTTCAGAAAAAGTCAAGATGGCCTTACCCCAGCCCATGCCGCCTGCCACATGGGTAATGTGCGTTTGCTTGGAAAATTAATTGAGGCTGGTGGAGACCTCCGTCTTCATGATAACGATGGAAGGGGAATGAGGGACTGGGCCGTGCTAAACCCCGATGCAAAGAGTCGATTACGAATGCTGCAGTTTTTAGATAAGACACATGTGTATGCCATGACCTTTAGTGGTGATGCTGTAAGCATTGACAGATTCACATCTTATGCTCGCAGGTAGGACCTCTACAGTCATTCAGTTAAGGTTAAGTTTAGCAAGCACTTTTGGCCAACTGCTCTGAAGATTTTTTTCTTCTGGATTTCATTTTTCAATCGGAAGTCTCGGTGCATCCAAACAGATTTATTAATCACTAACGGGGGCAATGTGACCACTAACTGGGGCAATGTGACCACTAACTGGGGCAATGTGACCACTAACTGGGGCAATGTGACCACTAACTGGGGCAATGTGACCACTAACTGGGGCAATGTGATCACTAACTGGGGCAATGTGACCACTAACTGAGGCAATGTGACCACTAACTGGGGCAATGTGACCACGTTGAGCGTGTAAAATATGAGAAGAGGTGTATAATCTATAATAATACATCCAGATGGCACTCCATATATCCACCAATTATCATGCCCTTTAGGTGTTGCCATCCTATACCTCTTAAACTGCTTTGTGGTCAAATCATGACTAAGTCAATACTTCAGATGGGGCTGGAATTACTGGGGAAATAATTCATATGGAAAACCCCAGTCATCTTTTCAAAGGGATGTAATAATCATGACACTGGTGCTTCACCTAATTTTCATTAGTTAAGTCCCTGCAGAGTGGACTCCATCCTTTCTAGAATTATTATTGTAGATAAGCAAAGGTATGAAAAACTCTATGGAATGCTAATAACTCCCCTTGATTAAAGGCCCCAGAATAAGACTTCACTCATGGAAATTATGAGAGTGCGGACTGGCAGTGATACCAGCTTTGAAAATCTCAGACGAGTACACAGCACAGGCTTCGGAAAGGTTGGTGTATTTGTTTGATACTTAGAGTTGTTGAAAGAGCCGTTTGATATCATTCTTATGGAACAACATTCTTTCCAAGTTACTGATCGTCATCTGTGTGTCCTAGCCTGTAGTCTTGTACTAAGGGCCATCCATAAACATTGTCACATGTCTCTTTGGGGGCGTGGGAAGGGTTTCCACAAACTTGTGGAGGATTTTGATAAAAGTGATTAATATGTTTTACAATTTTATGGTTTGGGAAAAAAAGTTGTTGAAATTTTGTGATATCATTTATGGATGGTCCCTTACTGCTCTAAGAAGATGAACATAAATATAGGTATATATAGGATTAAAGATACAATCTCGTTCACCTTACTATTTCTTTGTTTGGTTCTCTTGTCACAATCTTTACTTCTTTCGAGATACCAGTAATTGACTGCACACCCACAGGTCTATTTAGGGAATGACAACAATGGTGGCATAATCTCTGTGATACCCCTTGTTAGTGAAGCCCTCCTGTTTGTCCTGGATGATACACAGTTTGATACAGGCCACGGCTCATTTATGGAAAGGTAAGGTTGTCCTGGATGATACACAGTTTGATACAGGCCACGGCTCATTTATGGAAAGGTAGGGATGTCCTGGATGATAGACAGTTTGATACAGGCCACGGCTTAAAAAAGCGCACTGTATTTAAATGTAAATGTGAGATAATGTTAAAGAGCTAAAGAGCATTCAGCTGCAGACAAGTAAATAAAATGAAAAGAGAAGTATATTGTATAAGAATAAGTAATAGTAGATGAACTTATCGCTCTATACTTCTTAGACATCCTGGTCAAACATAGTCCTTAAATGTATGCTTCTTAAACATCCTGGTCAGCAATAGCCCTCTCAATGTACACTTCTTAAACATCCTGGTCAGCAATAGCCCTCTCAATGTATACTTCTTAAACATCCTGGTCAGCAATAGCCCTCTCAATGTATTCATCTCAGATGTCCTGGTCGGCACTCATTCAAATTAAGTGCAATAATAATGTTAAAAATCCTTCTACCCACTGTCTATTGTAATTCATGGCATAAGTTACTGTTATTAAAATTTGTAATTAAATGGACTAGTTTCTGGCTTCTAGTTTTGTTTAAAAAGTCAGTTATTTCGCTGTATATGATGTATGAACTATTTTATGGTTGTGGATCAGGACATGACAAAAATAAAAGTGCATGGTAAGAGCTGCATAGTCTCAATGGTGTTATGATTTAGAAAATCAAATTCTTTATGACAAGCTTTACACAATTTCAATTTAATAACTGACCCCCAAAGTGAGAAAAGATTTTAAAAAGTTATTAAATTTTTATTTAATCTAATGCCAGTATGGAATGGATCAAAATGCCAGTCACAGTGAGACAGATGAAGCCGGATGTTAAGCCAGAGGATGTCATAGATCTTTTTATAACAGATGCTGAATACTTGGGGTAAATCATTTTTAATTATGAAATTAATTTCAATTGACTTATTATAAAACATCTTCATTCTAACCTTCAAATATAATGTTAGAAAATTTAAACGAGGATAATGATTGATCTTCCTTTGTTCCAGAAAACTGCGCCACCCAAATGTGCTGTTGTTGATGGGAATTTGCCAGTCTATGAACTTTGATGCCATACTGCTAATTTTTGAAAACATTGAGATGGCAAATCTTCACAATTATTTACATCAATTAGTAAGTCCTCTGTAAGTGTTTGTGTTATAAATTATGGCTGTATTCTCATTTTGTCTGCTACTCTTATTGATATTTAATAAGATGAAATTACATTATTTTAAAATCTCAAAGACTTTTTATTGCATTGAATCCCAAAATTGATTTGGTTAATTAGAATATTGGTGACCTAATTGTGACAGAAATACATGTTTGCTTTTCATTATTTTAACCATGCAGTTTTCAGTAGATGATTTAAAAAGCAATTAGGACATCTACTACTTCGTGTCATTGTTCAGACATGATTAAGAAAGTCAACTTTGCTTTAGAGTAACTTAACAATTTTATATCCATACCTTGCCCTCCTCCTCCCCATTTTTCACTACTGGGAAAAAAAATTTCTTGCTTCCCTCTGTTATAAAACAATTATAGTTTTGAAGTAAAATTACATTCATTCAAATTGCGAATATAAAATTTTCATGCATTACAAAAACAAGTTTTATTTCTATATTTAGTAGGTAAAATTCTTGGGAGATTTCTTTAAAAAAGTTAAATACAACGAATGACACTAAAATTTTTCAAATGATGATGAATATTAAAAGAGTTGGATGTAATAACTGCACAGAAACCTTTGTACTCCATCAGGGCAATCACCCCCAGTTTTCCCTCCAGATGACAATAGCCAATCATGTGTGTCATGCTATGGACTTCATACACAACCAGAATTTAATTCATTGTGGCCTGTCCTCCATGGCAGTCTACTTGGTATCTAGCACTTGTGTCAAAGTCGGAAATTTCGAGTTCATGGTTGAAAGGTCTGTACGAACCCTTAATATTTATGCACTTTGGATCATTATCTGGGGGATTGGACTTCAGCAGTTGCGTGAATTGTAAAATTTGACGTAGCAAAGATAGATTTGTTAAATGACAAAACTGATATATATGAATGTCAATTGTAGAGTAAGGATGACATAAGCTTAATTTTACTCTAATGAGTATGCCTCATTAAGCAAGGAAATCTACATGTAACAATTATCAATTTAATCATAAAATTGTATTATGACTAGAAAATAGCTCACTATTTTAGTTCTGTTTTATGCATGCATAAGGATTTAGTTTTAAATGTACACTTATAGTTATAAAAAGGACTTATTTTTAAATGCCTACTTATGATTGTATAAAAGACCTAGATTTAAATGTACACATTTACACACGAATAAGCCAATGTCATTTTACACCCTTTTCAAAGTATTGTAAACATTTTGTGAAAATACATTTCAAGTGCGAAATAAAGAGATTGGGAACATTTTAAGGTGGATTACATCTCAAAAACCACATCATTTTACACATGCGAAAATGTTATCTAAAAAATAGACCTCTAACTTTACCCTTTCATGAAAGTACAGTTCAGGGGCATGAACAACTATGGGTTAAGATTTTCTTTCAAAATATGAAAATATTTGTTCCCACTTTTTGCAAAATACAGTTCATGGTGGGTAAATATTTACGGGATTAAGACTTCTTTAAAAAAACAAAGGCTGTTACATATGGGAAATTTGATTTGAAAACTCTTCTTTAGATATCTAACTAAATTAGACACAAACAGTGTGTAAATAAAACAAGATATTATTATGTTCAGCTTTAATGCTTCTTACATGTAGCCTACCTAAAAAATTGAAGAGAATGAGAATGGGCGCAAACCCAGACAAAAACAAAGTTAAGAAGAACAGAAAGGAAGTGAGTGGAAGTAAACGTTACAAACCAAACAGGTTAAGGCATGGCTGCCGTTAATTTTTAGTGAGACGATATGTTTTCTTTGTAGTTCAAGGGTGTGAAAAGGGGTTCGGTAGGCTAATATTATATAGAAGATAAAAATTTCTAAAAAATGTCAATATCTATACACAGTGAGTAATGGAAGGTCTGATTTATTTCCTGAATATACATTATAATGGCTTTTAAATTTTCTTATTTAAAAAAAAGATTTTTTGAGGATGCAATAGATTAAAAATCAATTCAGTTACTTATGTAAAAAATTGAATTTTAAGATGTTGAGACTTTGCAATAGCAGATAGAGTAGCAGAATATGTCTTCGATTGTTACGTCAGTTACACCGGGCCAAATCTTTTAGTGGTTGTGTAAAGGAACTTAGTTTAACATGTACACTTATGGTTGTGTCAATATTTTAAATGTTTTAATTTCCACACATAGTGGCCACCAAGTAATTCTTAAATAGCTGACAGCTAAGTCTATGTGAACATTTGTCCATAGTGACCAAGTTATTCTTAAATAGCTGACAGCTAAGTCTATGTGAACATTTGTCCATAGTGACCAAGTTATTCTTAAATAGCTGACAGCTAAGTCTATGTGAACATTTGCCCACAGACATTTAAAACCAATTTTATAAACAGCCATCAGTTTTTCATACCGCAGCTGAGAAAACTTTAATTTGTTGTTAGTCTGGACAGCCGTTGAGAATGCTATTAAATTCCTTCCAGTGTGAAGGCAGACCTGGGTAAAACAAGCCGTGTGTCCCATATTGCTAGCGGACGGGCCGTATACAACTGGATGTCACCTGAACTTCTCATGGGTCACACACCTCGCTTCTGTTCTGATATCTACAGTTACTGTTGTATCTTGTGGGAGACTTTTACTGGTAAGGAGATACTTAAACAGATGTTTGGTTACTATTTTGGTGTCAATCTTACAAAGCTGTCATTTATTGTTGTTATACAAAAATGAAAAAAATACTTTTTAAATAAAAGTTAATTAAGTCGTCAAAATACAATAAACTTATGATAAGAAATATTTGTTATTTTTCCAAAAAGGCATAGTGACAAGAACGCATAGTGACAAGAACGCATAGTGACAAGAACGCATAGTGACAAGTAAGCATAGTGATGAGTAAGCATAGTGACAAGTAAGCATAGTGACAAGTAAGCATAGTGACAAGAAAGCATAGTGACAAGTAAGCATAGAGACAAGTAAGCATAGAGACAAGTAAGCATAGTGACAAGTAAGCATAGTGACAAGTAAGCATAGTGACAAGTAAGCATAGTGACAAGCAAGCATAGTGACAAGTAAGCATAGTGATAAGTAAGCATAGAGACAAGAAAGCATAGTGACAAGAACGCATAGTGACAAGTAAGCATAGTGACAAGTAAGCATAGTGTTTTATTATTTTTTGGGGAAGCTTAAACAAATAAAAAATGCAAGCTATATTGATTCAGCACGATCACATTTTTTTAAAAAACTTGTGTAATGTACAACTGTAAGAGATTTTAAAATATGACACAGTCATATGTTGGAAGAAGATGATGTTCAACTTTTATTACAGGAAACCATAAAGAAGTTTTATCGCTATGTGCCACAATCAGGTGTGCCACAATCAGGTGTGCCACAATCAGGTGTGCCACAATCCAGTGTGTCACAATAAGGTGGAGATGTGTACTCACTATGTGCCACAATAAGGTGGAGATGTGTACTCACTATGTGCCACATTCCAGTGTGCCACAATCAGGTGTGCCACAATAAGGTGTGCCACAATAAGGTGGAGATGTGTACTCACTATGTGCCACAATGAGGTGGAGATGTGTACTCACTATGTGCCACAATGAGGTGGAGATGTGTACTCACTATGTTCCAAAATGAGGTGGGGACGTGTACTCACTATGTGCCACAATCCAGTGTGCCACAATCAGATGGAGATGTCTACTCACTATGTGCCACAATCAGGGGGAAATGTGTACTCACCATTGCCACAATCAGGTGGAGATGTGTTCTCACTATGTGCCACAATGAGGTGGAGATGTGTACTCACTATGTGCCACAATAAGGTGGAGATGTGTGCTCACTATTGCCACAATCAGGTGGAGATGTGTACTCGCTATGTGCCACAATAAGGTGGAGATGTGTACTCACTATGTGCCACAATAAGGTGGAGATGTGTACTCACTATGTGCCACAATAAGGTGGAGATGTGTACTCACTATTGCCACAATCAGGTGGAAATGTGTACTCACTATGTGCCACAATCAGGTGGAGATATGTACTCACTATGTGCCACAATAAGGTGGAGATGTGTACTCACTATGTCCACAATCAAGTGGAAATGTGTACTCACTATGTGCCACAATCAGGTGGAAATGTGTACTCACTATGTGCCACAATCAGGTGGAAATGTGTACTCACTATGTGCCACAATCAGGGGGAAATGTGTACTCACTATGTGCCACAATCAGGTGGAAATGTGTACTCACTATGTGCCACAATCAGGTGGAAATGTGTACTCACTATGTGCCACAATCAGGTGGAAATGTGTACTCACTATGTGCCACAATCAGGGGGAAATGTGTACTCACTATGTGCCACAATCAGGGGGAAATGTGTGCTTCCAATATGTATTTGGTGTCTCTTTACAAGTTGTATTATGGACTAAAGTGTTTACTCCCATATTTCCATCAGTGTCCAGTTGTAACCTAAATACGGCCGGGTGGGGGGGGGGGGCTGTTATGGTGCCTTTGATTCTTCAAACCATTTTGATTGCTTTGTGTCATTATGTCCAGGTGAGATACCGTGGGAAGGCCAGGATCCTGACTACATCAAATACAAAGTTGTGGAAGAAAACCAACCACTAAACTTGGCCTTCGTGAGACTACCTTCCAAACTCAGGGCCATTATAGGATATGGGTTGGAGCTGAAGCCAGATGAACGACTCCAGAAATTCTCTCTCATTTGCGATTGGTTGAAGTCAGATGTAAGTAATATTTTGTATTAATCAGAACCAATTCAAACAAATTAAGGGAGAGCGGGGTGTTCACCATTATACAAATTTTGATTTTCTACTTTCAACTCTTCCAGTGTATTTGACTAGATGGGCAGCCACTAAGTGAGCCACCTCCCCTGACTCTGCTAATGCTGTCAATTCTTAAGGTTTCTTGTTGCTCATAGTTAGATATTGCAGCAATGACAAAAATGAAAAAGTTTGATATTTTGAAATAAAAAAATGATGTAACTTTGCTCACAAGTGAACTAAATGTCAATACTTAAATATGTTCAATTTGACATACATCGGATTTATTCTTCTTGTACCTACCAAACTTTTCAAGGGCCAAAAGGATTATAATTTAAATTTGATTGCTTATTTCTATTAAAGCAATAAAATTCTGTTCTCACACTCCACCCATAAATGACTGTTTGATTCCTGACTTCACCTAGTGTCTCTCACACTCCACCCATAAATGACTGTTTGATTCCTGACTTCACCTAGTGTCTCTCTAGTCTTCTTGAAAATAGCGCAGTCTTGTCAGGAAAAGTTTTGCCAAAAGAATCTAGGTGTGTGCCATTAGGTCAGATTTGTTCAAATAATCCCATTCTTTATTTCATATATCATTTATTTGTAATCATAATTTGCTCCTTGCGGTCATCTATCATTTATTTTCATGTCAAAGTGTGTGAAAATGTCAATCATGATGGACTCTTTTTGACTTGAAATCTCCAGTATTCCTATATATAATTTTTAATTCTACAGAATGCGCGGCCACGATGGCCTCCCCATGACAGAAAAAACAAATCTGGCAACTTTACTGAGCAAAACTCATCTTCATCTTCCACACAATCATCAGTAAGAGAAGAGGTCGGGGGAGAAGGGAGGTGGACACAGGACAATTTGTGTTTCAGTTCAAGGTTTGTGCTGAGCTGCTATTCACACTGTTTGCTTAATTTTCACCAGGCTGATCTTTTAATTCACACACATAAATAAAGAGGTAGAAACATAAAGACAATAAAACTCCATTGTCAATCAACAACAGTGCTGACATTGGCTTTTAAAAATTGCTTTGTGTTTTATCTATAGTGACTTTCAATATCCATAGTACTGTCCCAAATAATTCCCTTGCATTAGCTATTAATTAACAACCTATTAAATGCAAACCAACTGTAAAGAAAGACATGTCCAATTTTACTATATTAAATGTCCTTATATGATCTTTTACTGTACAATAAGGCGTGAAAACTTTTGCAGGTCTCTCTTGTGTTGGTCTTATAAAGAGCCCAATGTTTGTGCTTAGATGGATCCACTGCATTATAAAAGTTTATAAGACACATTCACTTCCTTTCCAATATGGTGCACACACATGGCAGTTCATCATAATTCTACATCTTCTTTTTTTTTTTTTACAGCGATAGTTTTCAAGAAGGCTGTACCACACCTCCCACAATAGAAACTGTATTCCATGATTCACCATCATCTCTCTCACCCTTTAATGCATGTCTCAATTCTCCTTGGGTAAAATCAGATTTTTATTGAGATTTGTTTGAGTTTCCGTTTTAATGTTCAAATTACACCGTTAATAAATAATGTTGATTGATAAATTTAATGTTCTCTGAAATCATTTCTCATGTACCCTGTATCAGAACCGAAATGGGAGATATAGGCCCAGTCGTTATCGATATAGCAAGAATGAAAGCATTCAAGTTTAAATGTCTAATTTATAAATTTCTTGTCACATTTTGGGAAATTTAGTTAAGAATAAAATATAGAATTTATTTCAGCATAGTTTAATATGCAAATCTATAACAAGGGGTATGCAACGGTTGTGACTTGGATTTTTCCCCTGCCAAAAATTTAAGCTATAAGTTGGGTGACTAGAAATTAAACCCGAATTAAGCCCACTGCACTCAAATTAAAACAATATTGTGGCCTGATGTAGACCGATTGCACTCAAAATAAAACAGTATTGTGGCCTGATCTAGCCCCACTGCCCTCAAAATAAAACAATATTGTGGCCCGATGGAGGCCCACTGCACTCAAAATAAAGCAATATTGTGGCCTGATCCAGGCCCACTGCACTCAAAATAAACAATATTGTAGGCCCACTGCACTCAAAATAAAACAATATTGTGGCCCGATGTAGACCCACTGCACTCAAAATAAAACAATATTGTGGCCTGATGTAGGCCCACTGCACACAAAATAAAACAATATTGTGGCCCGAAGTAAGCCCACTGCACTCAAAATAAACAATATTGTGGCCCGATGTAGGCCCAATGCACTCAAAATAAACAATATTGTGGCCTGATGTAGGCCCACTCCACACAAAATAAAACAATATTTTGGCCAGAAGTAAGCCCACTGCACTCAAAATGAACAATATTGTACATTAAACTTTTACTTGCAATTTGCAATTTCTTTTATTTTTGTTTTCATAAACTCTAAAATATGAAATTATTAGATTTTACTGCTTGCTTCAATTGACTGTTGTATTTTTAAACTATTATTATTACAAATGATGAAAATTAACAATTTAACATTTATTTTTTATTAGATTCTATTGCTATGGATTTTAGACCAGTGTCGACCTATATCTGCACAAATGAGCTTCTTTTCATGGTCATATTTCCATGTTTTTGATATGTGAACTTGTAATATCAATACTTAACATCATTTTTAGTACTGAGTTTTAACATTTTTTTTGTAAAGAATTAGAAGAACCTGATTTTCTCATTAAACAGACGGGTGAGAAGAACTCGGCAGAGTTCTCACTTCCGGTCAAGCCAGCATCTCACTTCCAGTACAAGAACGGTGCTTGTCCAACCTTGCCCCGTGGTGGGAATAAGAGGCGGTCAAACTGTTCCGAGTTTTCCAGTGGTGGCAGTTTGAGCCGGCTGTACCAAGCCAATAACAACGGCAGACTGTCATCACATGCCGCCTCTGCAATGGCCAGAGACTTCCTGTCACAGCCGCACTTGTTGTAAGCATCTTGGCGTGTGTTATGTCGGTATGTCGAATGCTCAATGGTGTAAGTAATTGATCCCTGCTGTGCATACATTCCCTAATGTAATTTAAGATGGTTCTCTGAATTCCACAAGCTGTGTAGAATCAAATAAATAAAAAAAAAGAAAATAATATAGAAAATCCTTACTGATGTCAAGCCTCTAAATCAACCTTCCCCAAATGGTGGTCTGCGGACAGGCACCGGGCTGCTGCCAAACCTCTAAATCAACCTTCCCCAAATGGTGGTCTGCGGACAGGCACCGGGCTGCTGTCAAGCCTCTAAATCAACCTTCCCCAAATGGTGGTCTGCGGACAGGCACCGGGCTGCTGTCAAACCTCTAAATCAACCTTCCTCAAATGGTGGTCTGCGGACAGGCACCGGGCTGCTGTCAAACCTCTAAATCAACCTTCCCCAAATGGTGGTCTGCGGACAGGCACCGGGCTGCTGTCAAACCTCTAAATGAGCCTTCCCCAAATGGTGGTCTGCGGACAGGCACCGGGCTGCGACCCTTACTTTGCCGGTCAGCACAACATGAATATTTTTAAAATAAAAATAAAATATAATAATAAATCCTGTACTGGTCCTTGATGCACTTTTTAAACGTATACTTGGTCGGCCAAACTTAAAAGTTTTGGAAATCTGCTCTATATTACATACACAAATGAGTACGGTAAAGAAATAAAATATTGTAAGCCTAAGTCTAAATCAGAAGGATTAAACATGCTTAGCTAGTGTCAATGATTTTTAAATTATGCAATGCTGTAACCCACTTGTTAATTTTTTTATCATAAATTATTTGTGGGTCCCTCCAAGTAAGCAAAGGTTGCAAATCCCCTGGCTCTAGCCTTTAAAAAAAAAGAAAAAGATAAGTATGTCTTAAATTGTGTTTAGGAAAAGGCTTAACTAAAGCAATGTGTTTAGCATGTTTACTAACTAGTACAACATTTGATGACAATATTGATCACCCATGCCCTATATTTGGCGTTATTCTCAGCACTGACGAGTCAGGAGAAAAGTTTGAAAGTCCACAAACAAATTGTGTACGGATGCTAACAGAAAGTTTCCAGATGAGGTTGAATCAAGTAAATAGTTTTATTCTATTTTCATAATTTAAATTGTTTCCCACATCACTAATTTTAGAAATAAAACTTTGAATAAAGCATGTAAGGTATTATTTTTAAGCTTTCAAATGCCAAAAATACAACAGTTAATTTTTTTTTACAGCACAGTTTGCGTCAGGCTATACTAAAAGGAAGCATGGCCCCGAAAGGAAGTTGTGTAGAGGTTGACATTTCAACTGATGTAAGTTGTTGTTTTTTTTGGTGCATGCTGTAAAAACCATTGACCTCCACAGTGACATTTTCAAAGTCAGATTATGCAAATGCTATAATATATCTGATTTGATAAACACAACCTTCAGTAGCCTAGTTTTCTCCCGCAAGTCCTCCCAGGAGTACATTAGCAAAGTTAAAAGATATTTTTTAATGAAATTTTACAGTATCTTCTCCTCTGTTATAAGTTAGTTCAGATTTAACTAAAAAAATTTCCTGAATTGATTTCATTTAGATGGGTATTTAACTGAGTCATCCAATTATTCATGACAAATCTGGAGAAAACAAATGTGTGCTTGTAGCTATAACATTTTATCTCATCTTTTCCCCTATTCATTAAAACAATATTGCCATGTAAAAGCAGCCATTTTTTTTCCAATATTCATTAAAACAATATTGCCTTGTAAAAGCAGCCATTGTTTTACAATATTCATTAAAACAATATTGCCTTGTAAAAGCAGCATTTTGTTTTCCCCTATTCATTAAGACAATATTGCCATGTAAAAGCAGCCATTGTTTTACAATATTCATTAAAACAATATTGCCTTGTAAAAGCAGCCATTGTTTTACAATATTCATTAAAACAATATTGCCTTGTAAAAGCAGCCATTTTTTTTCCAATATTCATTAAAAAATATTGCCATGTAAAAGCAGACTTTTTTTTCCCACTATTCATTAAAACAATATTGCCATGTAAAAGCACCATTATTTTTGCATTCTGAAAAACACTATTAGAATATCAATTTATTGCTTTCTTGTCAAGATGAAACAAAATCTCACTTTTGATTGATGCTGCCTGTTTGATTAATTTCAGACAGTAAGACAAGACAACAGCAATAAACCAGGCACTGAAAAGCCCATACAAAATAATGTTTATGGATCAGACCCCATTCAAGGTTAGTGCCCATTTGTTTAATTAAGGAAATAATCAAGCTTGCATTTCTGTGATTTACCTGCTAATCAGCTTAACCTTATTTTACCATTCATTTTTAGCAGGGATGACCTGCTGGGTCCAAAGTCACACAAAAATTCATCTCCTAAAAAGTTGCCTTACTATTGTAGTATGTTTAATTTAAAAAAAAGAAAGATTTGTGCATGTTTTAAACTAGCACCCTTGTTGTATCACCGCCCCTGATTTATAGATTTAACTTGTCTTTTGAGTCCTTATTTTAGTATAAATTTCATGTCATGGTTAAATGCGTGGACAACTCTTGCAAATTAGTGTCAAATCTATATGATCATAAACAGTCTTTTATCATGTGTGTGATAATAAATATTCACTAAAGTTACGTTAACACACATCTTTAAAATGTGTACATTTAATGTGCACTAAAGTTACATTAGCACACATCTTGAAAATATGTAAATTTTTTATGTTTAAAAATATTAAACTTTATAAAAAATGATTAATAATAACTTTGAACATTAAAAGAAATTTTAAAAAATTTAAATACAATTCTATTATTGTTTTCTGTTATTAGCGAGGAGAAGCAGTTACTACGATGGGGAGAAGTTTATTTAAAAAAAAATGCAAATGGACTTAAATTGTTCAGTTTGGTTGAGATTAAACTTGTGAGTTAAAACCTGACTTAGAGAACTGCAGTTGCAGACAAACTTTGTGAAATGTTCCAGATATAACCTCTTCTGACATGGCCAACTTAAGCTGCCTCCCAGTAATCACGGGCAGCAGCACACCCAAAACTGGCAGCGTCAAGGCCAGTCAGGAAACGCTGACCATCGTAAGGAAAACCATAAAGCCAAAGTTTTTGGATCTTCATTGCTCAAAGCTGCTTAGAGACGTCGTGTCTTTGTCTGGTCAAGATTTTGATAATGGAGATTATGAGATGAAGACGTCAAGGGGCGCACCATGTGACATTACTGGCGGCACCGACGGTGAAACAAAAGAAAGGAGAAATGTAAATATGGTAATTATGTAGTGTAATATTGGACAGATACAGGGTCAATGAGTGGACCTTTTCTCAGTCGATAAACCCAGGATTGATGCCGGTCAGTTCAAGCTGTCTGCTATTGTACCACTCCACAACCCGTGTTAATTAAGCTTGACAATTTTTAAGAATTCATATTTATTGACATCATAGTCTAAAATAAAACTGACATCATAGTATCAAATGTCACTGACATAGCATCAAATGTTACTGACATAGTATCAAATGTCACTGACAAAGTAGTGTCAAACCGTTACATAGTATCAAATGTCACTGACAAAGTAGTGTCAAATGTGTCATCAGTTTAAACACTGTAAGAAGCTTTTTTTTTATTGTTCAGTTATTTGCCTTGCTATTTACTCTATGAACGGCTGAAGATAGTTTAAGTGTTGAGTCTAGTTTTTTCCCCTTTCAGGCACGTATTGACTCCCTTCCTTCTACTGGTGACCATAAATGTCCGTCTTCAACAAAAGATCATCAGGCTTTTCTTGGTGAAATCAAAGTGGTACACAGGCTGATACTAGGGCGCTCCCATCCAATAAAAGAAAGAGAATCTTCTTCTGGAGTGCCTTACCATTCTCCAGCTATTGAAACACGGCGCAACAAGCCGAGATTTGATAAAATACCTTATTCTAATGATCATTACACTGCTGGCAACGGCTGCAAGTCTGGATTGCTCATTTCTAATGAAGTAAATGCAAAGGATCTTCCTGTAAGATCTCAGCCAGATTTTGTTCTTGATGATTCCTTTTGGAACATTGCCCCCCACGAAGGAGGCGTGTCTGATAAGGATGGTGACGGCACTGTACATAAAGATGATGCGAACATGGCCGAGCATCAAATGCTTTTCAGGAACTTTGGAAACAGGCTTTGTAAAAGCAAAGTAGTCGGCTCCCCAAAATACATCATAACAAATGATGAATTGTGTGTCAATGCAAGCCTAAAATCTAGATCTGAAGGGAAAGATGGAAGTCAAGATAGAAGCTCTCAAGTGAAACGTTGTATACATAATGAAGAAAATCCTGATAATACCCTCACTGTGATGGACTCTACATTTGTGATCCAAAGTCAGCACTCAGTTGCTGAGAAAAATGTCAGCATGGCACAAGACTTGAGTAAGTCCAAATTAAAATGGAAAATTTAAATGTAATTTTAGTGTTCCTAGAATGTGTGGTATTTTTTCTCTTTGGAGTTTACTACGAGAATCTCTGGTGATGAATGCTGTCTTTTTTAATGTCATTTACTCTCAGTGATGCTCGTGTGCTGTATGTTTTTGTCTTTTATCTATAGATGCTGATTCTGATAAAGTGGATGGCTGGGTGGAACACAAGCTGGGAACCCTACTAGACAAGATGTCAGTCAGACCCAACCATCAAGGTCTAATTATTTACCCTATCATTCTTGAGCCCTTTTTTTGCTTTGAAAAATTTTACCAATATTTTAATTAAGTTTTGCCAGGACTTACTATTATTGCAACATGCAGGGACTTACTATTATTGCAACATGCAGGGACTTACTATTAATGCAACATGCAGGACTTACTATTATTGCAACATGCAGGGACTTAATATTAATGCAACATGCAGGGACTTACTATTAATGCAGCATGCAGGGACTTACTATTAATGCAGCATGCAGGACTTACTATTAATGCAACATGCAGGGACTAAATATTAATGCAACATGCAGGACTTACTATTAATGCAACATGCAGGGACTTACTATTATTGCAACATGCAGGGACTTACTATTATTGCAACATGCAGGGACTTACTATTATTGCAACATGCAGGGACTTAATATTAATGCAACATGCTGGACTTACTATTATTGCAACATGCAGGGACTTAATATTAATGCAACATGCATGACTTACTATTATTGCAACATGCAGCTGTGTTGGAAAAATTTGTAATTAGTTTTTTAAAAGAGGCAAACACTCTTGGCTTGTTGTGTAGATATATGGTTGACAGGAAATGGTAGACATAGTCAATTATGGAAGTGACCTTTGAAATCAAACAATTAGCATATGAAATTAACAGGAAACATAGAAAATTAAAAATTAAAAAAAAATTAAATAAAATTAGATAAGAGGGAAATAGTAGATTACTATAAAACGCAGAGGACTGCTTAGGCAACATTATCAAGTGTCACAATCCAATGTGGATTGGTTTCTATCATCAAATTCCTTTACATATTTACATGTCGTAATCACACCGAATGGAACACAAGTCTCATTCAATTAGCAATGTAACTTTAATACAAAAAATATATCTGTTAGGCTGTAGTAATCAACCATGTGTGTCGCAGCTTGCTATAAGGAGAATTAATGCTCAACCATCCAAAGACAGTCTAGGCCAGGGGTCACCAAACTTTTTTCAAATTGGGCCAGATAATGGAAAAAATCACACACCCGGGCCGGATAATAATTCTGTACAATACTTGCAAGCCAGAACAAAAGCTTTATGAAAAAAAGACTTAAAACTAACTTTAGTATTCTATGTTAACCATGGATGAGTGGCGTGCAATGCAAAAAAGCAAAGACAACCCACATATTTATTTACTAAAAAAAGTTAGCAAATATTGCGACTTTAGCAAAAAAGATAGTTACATCAGACCTAGTGCGTACATATTCGAACCTCACAAACTAAGCAGCCAAAAAGGTGAGTGAGATTTGTCAAACTGGCGTTTGGCTTTCAAGATATCATCAATGTTTGGTTTGGAATTGCTGCATCCAATCAAAAGAATTGTTTCCAAATGTTCATCAATCCCTCTCGTTCGATGAGTTGACTTCACATACTTTATTTTTTGAAAATGTTTGCTCACAGACATAAGTTGTTCCATGCATGCTGCAAACGGATGCCAACTCTTCCGCTATCTGAAAGTCCAAATTGACACCACAAATAAACACAAGAAGTTGTGAGAGATCATTAGACTCATCCAGTGCGAGAGACTACTACAGCACATTCCTAGCTTTCCCACGCATCTGTAGCACTATGTTCTCTCCAAGTTTTTCTGTTCTCTGAACTTGCTGAAAGACTAATAGTTCCAACTGCGGCGACTACGATTTTTAATGTCCCCGTATGTTTCCAACACTCCTCTTTCTTTCACCCATTTACAGTTTGTGGTAGTTATCAGACCATAATATATTAGCGGGAATAGGCTTAATGGATATTGATTCTTATTTTACTATTTTTTTAAACAAGCTTTTCCTAAAAAACAACAAGCTCAAGGTACTTGGTAGGTTTTCTAAATGATGTCTCATTTGTTAATTAATTCTCATTTAAATACATCTCGTGTTATTCTGATCTGAGTTCTAGTTTGAACCACATTAAATTTCACCAGTAACTGTATTTTACCAGTGACAGACTGTAATAATGTGATTTGTAGGTCCACTCGATATAAATTAATATCAATAACAACTACATGCCTGCAAAACAAAGTGACAGCAGATTGCAATATAAACATCGGTCATCTACTTTTAGAAGTTAACTTTTTTGACGCCAGCTTGACTCACTCCCACTAGGCACTGCAAAGCGAGTAGTTATTGTATTAATTTTACATACTTTATGTTTATTTACATACTTTATGTTTATTTATTTACTATTAAGATACCGTATTGTACGATTTTGAGCCGATCTTTTATGATTTTAGGAGTTCCAGGGTAAACATGTTTGTAATAAACAAGATAATCTAGATATAATAATTTAAAATTGTAAATGGTAAAGTAGGCGCATAGCAGCCAGGAGGTCTCCGTACATGTGAAGATGTCCTAGTATTCTAAACATAATATTGAAATTTAAATTGTATCACAACGTCTCATTTCCACACATTCTATCAAGTTCAAGTACCGTCGACGGGCCGGATGAACTGGTCTCGCAGGCCGGATCTGGCACACTGGCCGTAGTTTGGTGACCCCTGATCTAGACAATATGTCATAATTTCAAAAAATATAAGTCATCAAAATTAAAGTTGGAAAAGGCATTCATTAACTACTAACACTCATAACACACAGTGCACAATAAACACAATACCTGGTGGGGGGCAACAATTACTAGTGAATTCCCATATTGGACAGCAAGGATGTTGAATATGAGGCAAATATCATGGGTTCTTACAGCATTAAAAAAAAAATTGAAAGTCAGCCCCCATCCAATTTTGGGCACCTTCCTGGAGCATTGTTATTTGGTATTCTTTGGTCAGTTTGGGTTTTTTTACTTTTTTTAAAAATATATAATGTTAATTGCTAAACAATGTTTCTTTAATTTAAATTTAAATGCAATCATAAACTCTGCGGTCTTGTCGTTTACAATGGCAGCCAACCAATGTTTCTTTAATTTAAATGCAATCACAAACTCTGCGGTCTTGTCGTTTACAATGGCAGCCAACAAATGTTTCTTTAAATTAAACGCCATCTTAAACTCTGTGGTCTTGTTGTTTACAATGGCAGGCCAAGAAACAGACTCTAGTGGTAGCTTCCATGGCCTGAAAGATATTTCCTCCTCTTCAACTCTTGGTGAAGGCTTGCTGAGACCTGACAAGCTGTGCGCCAATGTCCTTCCAGACTTGCAGACCTGCAAAAAGCCGGCAGAGAACCCAGGAAGTGAGTTTGAGGACGAACTGATGAAAATTGAAACGGCTAAGTCTGCTCCTGAGGTAATGTCTGATTTATTATGTGTCCTATTATTTTTATGGTTTTCAAATCAGGTAACTGAGCATATATCTTTGGAGCAAGAGTTGCTCATTAGTAGGCAACTGACCATACTAATGAGTTCTGACATTTGGAATGTCCACCATATATTTTTGGAGCAAGAGTTGCTCATTAGTAGGCAACTGACCATACAAATGAGTTCTGACATTTGGAATGTCCACCATATATCTTTGGAGCAAGAATTGCTTATTATTTTAATCAGGTCTGCACAACCCAAAATATAAGGCGGGCCATAATACTTTATGAAAAACTTGTGCGGCTGGAAAGAAAAAAGGACGGGTTGGGGGGGGGGGTGGTTGTAAAGCTATTAAGAAAATAATAAATAATGTTTCGTTACTTACGAAATAAATTTAATGGGACACATTGCATTGTTTTTCTGCAAAAAGTTTGTCCTATTCAGGAGATATATTGGAATTAGCTGTTCTCAAGATGTCTTCCAAATGATCATCACTCAAACATGAGCGTGGCTTGCATTTATTAATGTTCATTATTGAAAATGTCGGTTCACATAGAGAAGTGGTTCCAAATAAACTCAAAGTTTTTAGTGCAACTCAGTAAAGATTGTTGTACTTCTCATGGTCCAGATTTTTATAAAAATCCTGCAGGCTGCTCTCTCTGTCCTTGCTTCAGTAAATTGCCGAACATGGTAGTTTGATAACTTCCAACTTCAGTTGAACTGGCATGTCCTCGTGATTCACAGAAAAGGGATTTTCAATTAGTTTAAACTGAATTTCTTCTTCTTTAGAAAGAGTAAGTCTTTTATCTAATTCTTCTATCAAAAGATTAATTTCTTTAACAAATGTTGTTCCCAGCAAGAACTGCTTGTCCTGATGCATATGCTGTGCACAAGTGGAGAAGTGACTCTTTTCAACATTTAGTAACTGGGATTTGAAAAGTTTCAATTTCAGTTTAAAAGCTCTTCCTGCTGCAAACATTTCATAAACCTTGAAGTTGAACGTTGAGGCCATTTAGATGTGTCTTAATATCACAACAGAAGAAGAGGTCATGATTCCAGGACTCATCTTAAAGCTCAGGGAATTCCTTTGCTTCGTCTTCTAGGAATTTAGATATTTCCTTCTTCAAAGCAACGAATTGCTGAAGCACTTTCCTTTGGCGTAACAATCTCACTTCTGCATGTCTTTGTAGTCAGCGTCTATATCATCAAGAAAAGCTTGAAAAGCCCTATGTTTGAGTCCTCTTGATCTTATATAGTTGACTATTTTGATAACAATAGACATAACATGTTCTAAATGTAACACTTGGCTACACAAGGCTTGCAAATGTATAATGTTATGATATTTGTTATTTGCCTTCCGATAAAATTTTCCAGAAGTGCAACTGCTCCCTTATTGATACCCCTCATATTCCAGGCACCGTTGGTACAAATGGCCACTAATTTTATAAAATCTTATCCCAACTTATCTTATCCCAGCGAGTTCTTCTGTAATTTCACAGTTTTTGTCAACACCTCTAATGAAAATGAAAAGTTGGGTGATGTCTTTTAAATCTGTACTTTTGTCCATAGCTAGAGAATAAAAAGAAAATTCACAAGCTTTCTGCATTAATTGTTCTTGAAGATTGGTGGAAATATCAGTTATTGGTCTGTGCACTATCACTCGCGATAAACTGATATCTTGAAATAATACTGTTTTTTCCTGACAATAATTCAGACATGGCGATCAGCATGCACTTCTTGACAAACTCGCCTTCAGTAAAGGATTTCCCAGCTGTAGCAATATCCCTTGAAATGCTAAAGCTTATCTTGGTAGCTGTCTCATTTTCACGACTCTTTTTCTTGAAAAATGTGTGCTCTCCAGTAAGAGTTTTTGACAGATTCGTTGCTTTAATGGATTTTACATTTTGATCCAATTTTGAAAAATTAGGATATTTATATTCAAAATGCAGTCGAAGATTTTACTCCTTCGGCACAGCAACTGTGTCACAACATGTGAGGTACAGTATTTTGCCCTTGAACACTGTAAATAAGTATTTATTTGTCCACTCAGGATTAAAAATTCTGTGCTCTATCTCAGGTTTTCTCTTTATGCTTTGATTCATGGCGCTTAAATATTTAAAGTACACATCAGGGCCGGCCTGACGGTTGCTGGTGATCTGTTGCAAGCTTAACTTTGGTGCCCCTTTTAAGTTTCATCATTAACGCAAAAACTAGTTATTAGGTCATGAGTTTATTACCTATGTTTTTTTTAAAGAAACAATGAACAATAAAATTGTTTTTGTTAACTTGTATCAGCATATCTTTTTTATTGCACTTTCTATTTTTCTTCCATGGCGCCCACATGCAATGCTTTTTCCTATTTTGGAAGATCGTTGATGGCGCCCTAAGCTCACGCCGTGTATGAAAAGTTAGAATACCATTTCTCGACCCTGGACCCGAGGTTCACACTTCACTATAATAAATTAAGGGAATTTAAATATTTACCAGCTATGCCACGGTGCCCTGTGCGTTGCAAACATCTATAAGTATATTACCGAACTAAAAGCACAGAATATCAAAATAAAGCAATACATGAGCTCTACACAACACAATTCTACACAATATTACAAAAATAGTAAAAGGTTAATCTGCACAAAAGACACTAGTTTTGAACACACTTAGTTATGTTGATTGAGAATACATACGCGTGGGAAACCGTAGTCGATTTCCCTGGCGAAAGAGTAATTGCTCGGGAAAAGCGTGCATGTGTGATTTATTATCGTCATGAGGAAAGAAGACATGTAGTGAATATTTACACGGTAAAAAATTAGTAATTTAATTTGATTTAATGAAACAAAACATTCATTTCAAGTATGCGGGGGGGGGGAATAAATAAATTTATTGATTATTTAAAAATTAAATAAAATTTATAGTATTTTTCTGTATATATACCTATCGTAATATTATAATTCAATAAGCTAGGGATTATTAATTTATAATATGTTTTTTTACCAAAGTCTTTGCGGGTCACAAAGTGGGTGCCAGCGGGCCAAAAAGTGGGTGCCAGCGGGGCGTATGTTGTGCAGGCGTGATTGAAATGTCAGAAGGAGAAAAGTGAAAGCACAGATTAATATGCAATTACGTAGCTTTTCATTGATGTAAACATTTGCAAACAGAATATCTTAGACAATGATTACTATTTTTGTTACATATGCTTCATTTCACATATATTTTAAAGATTGAAAAATTTATTGTTATAAGTTTCAGCTAGCAGCATATGTAGCAGTATATGTAGCAGTATATGTAGCAGCATATGTAGCATGATGTATTACATTGCATAAATGTTGTTAAAGATAATAAAAGAGAATAAGATGAAGGCTAAGGTTTTTTTTTAATGTATTGAATAAGAATATTAAATCCAATCTTGGTAAACACATCCAAATCTCTATTGATGAATTTGACAAAAAGTATTTTTGTTCAGGTTGACGGATGTGACTTTGAATTTCGTGAGTTCTACATTGATGATGACTTTGAAGACGGTGAAAGGGTTTCCTCTAGGCCCCTGGAAGATTTAGACTGCAATGTCTCCACACGCCACAACTCCACGGATTGTTTACCAGATAAATCACGACATGTTACAAAACATGTCCAAGCAAAATCCCCATTCTCTTTAGCCCGACTCATCATCAAGCCCCCGGTTCCCCCTAGTAAATGGCCGATTGTACATCACACCAACTCACGGGGTAACATGTCTCAATCGGCTCTGCGACAGAATGAAGAAGATATTAATAAGATGCGGTGGAGGAAAAGCCACTGTGAAAGAGTCACAGAGACTAAAGATGAGCCGTCATTCAGCGTCAAGAATCTGAAGGGAGACCCAGCCCCCCGGGGAAGAGAAGGAGTCCCTGCCGAGCCTAAACTTTTAACTTCAAACAGCAGCCTTGGGCACGGCACGAGTGACCCGGGCATAAGCCTTAGTTCAAATGACGTGAGCGGCAAAGTAAATGACGATGACACCCTGGTTGAGGTCGATGGTGACCTCAACACTGTCTCTGATGCGGACACGCCAGATACTGTCCGTGACAAAGAAATAAATAGAAAGGTGTCTGCTGTTCGGTATGTCACTGCACCGTCCCAGCTGACAAAAGTGAATGAGAGTTGCCAGGTGTCGATGCCCGGTGATAGACCTAAAACCCATTATGACTCAGACGCGGCTGAAAGTGACCCCTGGGTTCACAGGAAGTTGAAAATTATCCAGGAGAAGATACGACGTCGTAAGGCCAGGGCAAGTTACACACTCAGCAGCGACGATGATGAGGACCCGGGCTATGTTGGAACTGATGATCAGTTACTACCACTGGCCAGTCCTGGGTCTAATTACATGTTACCATGGGAACAATTTGATCCCTGCCCTGATATACATCCCAGTTGGGTACTATCTAGTACAGAACACAAGATGACTAAGAACCATGGGTTGGTGGATAAGAGGGACTATAAATCCCATAAGAACGGAGGTAAAACTTTCTCACCGGCAACACACAGGAGATCACACGAGAACAAGAAAATCAAATATAATCCTAATCTGTCTGACATAGCCTCAAATAACAGCAGAGCCGTGGGCATTGATACATCAGAGAAGTTAAGACAAGATGAATGTACAACTGAAAACTCATCTGACCAGCATAAGTCAGCAACTGCTTCCTCCCTGGAGCACAAGTGTCATGATGGGTAGGAGCTGTTTGAAAGCACAAAGAAACGGGTGGTGTGATGATGGAGAGGGGCCTCCAACTATTTCTATTAGTTTGACCAATTTTGATCCAAAAATATAGCTCAGTCATTTTTGTTAAGTTATATCTGAGTTCTAGATTTCAAAGTTAAAATCCAGTTCATGTTTACAATAGTGTAAAATAGTTCAGTCATTTTTTAAGCTGAGTTTATGTGGATTTAAGGTGTGTTTGCGGGGAGAGTTTGGACTTTGGTCAGGTTTGTGGGGAGAGTTTGGATTTTGGTCAGGTTTGTGGGGAGAGTTTGGAATATGGTCAGGTTTGTGGGGAGAGTTTGGACTTTGGTCAGGTTTGTGGGGAGAGTTTGGACTTTGGTCAGGTTTGTGGGGAGAGTTTGGACTTTGGTCAGGTTTGTGGGGAGAGTTTGGACTTTGGTCAGGTTTGTGGGGAGAGTTTGTAATGTGGTCAGGTTTGTGGGGAGAGTTTGTAATGTGGTCAGGTTTGTGGGGAGAGTTTGGAATGTGGTCAGGTTTAAATTTTTTTTTACAGAAATCACATGATTCATCCCTGTCTAAGTGCTAGATTATTGAATAAAATTAATGTGGCTGTATTAAAAAAAAAAAGTATGTGACACGTATTATCTGAAATTTTTATCTGGACATTTTTAGGTTAACTGAAATAAAGCACCCATCAATCTTACGTAGAACAAGCAAAATCTCAAGTTCGTATAAACTGAAAGAGGGCAAGAGCTGTTTAAATCAAGTCCCTACTCGTGTTCCCCGTACCAAGTCCAAGGTCTCAGCCAGCCATGGCTCAAAGTCAACTGAGAGAGTCATCAGCTTCAAAGATCTCACCGACACCGATCACGACAAACCGAGCACAAGTAAATTCAAAACCCAGACACATCTGACTAGACCAGAAAGTGAGGTAACTGAACAATCCCCACAACTTGAGAGGAGTTTTGTCAGCGTCAGTGAAGATTTTGAAATAAAGACTGTGAAAACCTGGCTAGAGAAGCACAACTTTGCTGAAAGTAGCTGCACCAGCAGTCCTCAGCCCACAGATCATCATCATATAACATCTAGGGTGCTTGAGCTCCAAAACAGCCAAAGTGGCATTCAGAACACACCTTCAAACCGCAGTGTTTTCTCAGAACACAGTCTCGACAAAGTACCTTTCATTTATAAAGAGGATGCCATCCACAAAAACCCAAAAGCTATAACTCCGCAGAGACAAGAGGTTCTGTCCTGGATAAATTCAGATGTCGGTCTCAAAGAGCATAATTCTAATGATAAGTTTCACAGGGGTAAGTCGACCTGCTCAATTCAAGGTCAACCAGAAGGGCAAGTGTCACGATGTGATGATGATGACCTAACCGAGGCAAAGGAGCAAGGAAACTTCAATGTGGCACTCAGCCATGTGAGACACAAGTCTTATAACCCAATCCCAGCCAACGAACATTTTGTGACTCTGGATCTACAGACACCTGCCAAAGAGAAATTAGGTGAGATCCTGAGGTTAATTTTTTTTAAAAACATTTTAAAACATATTTTGTAAAAAAACAACAACTTAAAGTTAAAAAAGATACAAGTACCTGTTTAGTTAATTTTGTTAGTGTCTCCACACACAATAATTTAGTTAGTCTCCCCACACACAATAATTTAGTTAGTCTCTCCATACACAAAAATTTAGTTAGTCTCTCTACACACAATAATCAAGTTAGTCTCTCCATACACAATAATTTAGTTAATCTCCCCACACACAATAATTTAGTTAGTCTCTCCATACACAAAAATTTAGTTAGTCTCTACACACAATAATCAAGTTAGTCTCTCCATACACAATAATTTAGTTAATCTCCCCACACACAATAATTTAGTTAGTCTCTCCATACACAAAAATTTAGTTAGTCTCTACACACAATAATCAAGTTAGTCTCTCCATACACAATAATTTAGTTAATCTCCCCACACACAATAATTTAGTTAGTCTCTCCATACACAAAAATTTAGTTAGTCTCTACACACAATAATCAAGTTAGTCTCTCCATACACAATAATTTAGTTAATCTCCCCACACACAATAATTTAGTTAGTCTCTCCATACACAAAAATTTAGTTAGTCTCTACACACAATAATCAAGTTAGTCTCTCCATACACAATAATTTAGTTAATCTCCCCACACACAATAATTTAGTTAGTCTCTACACACAATAATCAAGTTAGTCTCCCCACACACAATAATTTAGTTAGTCTCTCCATACACAAAAATTTAGTTAGTCTCTACACACAATAATCAAGTTAGTGTCTCCATACACAATAATTTAGTTAGTCTCTCCATACACAAAAATTTAGTTAGTCTCTCTACACACAATAATCAAGTTAGTCTCTCCATACACAATAATTTAGTTAGTCTCTCTACACACAATAATTTAGTTAGTGTCTCCATACACAATAATTTAGTTAGTCTCTCTACACACAATAATTTAGTTAGTGTCTCCATACACAATAATTTAGTTAGTGTCTCCATACACAATAATTTAGGTAGTCTCTCCAAACACAATAATTAAGTTAGTGTCTCCATACACTATAATTTAGTTAGTCTCTCTACATACAATAATCTAGTTAGTCTCTCCATACACAATAATGTAGTTAGTCTCTCCACACACAATAATTTAGTTAGTCTCTCCATACACAATAATTTAGTTAGTGTCTCCATACACAATAATTTAGATAGTCTCTACACACAATAATGTAGTTAGTCTCTCCACACACAATAATTTAGTTAGTCTCTCCATACACAATACTGGAAGTTGTTCACCATGAACTCCTTTTTCACAATTACATAAATACATATAGATGTTAGCAGTGTTACAGACAGACAGACACATACAGGGGGGGAGGGGGGAATTGAAAATGATAAAATCGCCAAAGAAAGAAAAGTGAGGAGTGAGGTGGGATGGAAACAATAAGACAAAGTGGTAATTAAAAAAACTAAAAAACGTGTAGATTCAGATGCATTTTTGAAAAAGTAAACTTCTGGGAGGGAAGCAAGTGCTTCTCCCTTCTCTGAATATTTCACTGGGTGAAATAGAAATATGGAATGTTTAATTTTTTTACAAAAATATGAGAAGGAAAAAAAAAAGTGAGATATTTTTATTACTTTCATTATTTATGTTATGTTGATAAATAAAACAAAAAATTATGTAATACACCTATGCATTTTTTTTTTTCAGAATCCCAAACAGGCAAACAAAGAAAACAAAAATGCAAATTAGGCCTTCATAGATTTTATATACCAGTAAGTTTGAATACATTAGAAGGTGATGATTAGCGAGTTAATGTTTTTCAAGCTTTTAAAGTTTGAATTAGTATGGAATACATCTTTGAAGCGTAAAATTATTTTCCTGATTATAAAAATCAAGGATATCATTTAATATTTTTTTACATGTTGTAGTGGTTCACTCTGATTGGAATGGTGGCACACTCTGATTGGAATGTGGGCACACTCTGATTGGAATGTGGGCACACTCTGATTGGAATGTGGGCACACTCTGATTAGAATGGTGGCACACTCTGATTGGAATGTGGGCACACTCTCATTGAAATGGTGGCACACTCTCATTGGAATGGTGGCACACTCTGATTAGAATGGTGGCACACTGTCATTGGAATGTGGGTACACTCTCATTGAAATGTGGGCACACTCATTGAAATGTGGGCACACTCTCATTGAAATGTGGGCACACTCTGATTGGAATGTGGGCACACTCTGATCGGAATGGTGGCACACTCTGATCTGAATGGTGGCACACTCTGATCTGAATGGTGGCACACTCTGATCGGAATGGTGGCACTCTCTGATTGAAATGTGGGCACACTCTGATTGGATGTGGGCACACTCTGATTGGAATGTGGGCACACATAAGAAAAATTATATTTTATGTTTTTTTGGTCATATTGGTACAGGATTTTCTCTTAGCACTAAACTCTTATCCCCAATATTACGTAAGTTGTTCTTTATTCATTTTGAGCTATTTAAATTTGATCTATGTCAACACATCAACACAGACTGAATTTGAACTCAAATGACCTTATTTTGACCAGCCTGTGCACTTTTGATTTCAGCGTGACATGTGGCCCGAGGGTTGTAATGCCAGGCTTGATGTGAGCATTAGTCCGACTCATCCAGATTGCCATAGAGTTGTCACCACAGCAACTGATCCGGTGAGTGGTCGAGAGGAGACGCTTATGGACCAGACCATCTGCACAGATAAATTAAGATCCACCCTACAGTTAGATTAAATTGCTGAGATAATATGTGTAAAACAATCCCATTGATCAAAATCATCTATAAAATTAACCCGTAACTTGATAAAATAGTGAAAAATTACTCACTTTTAAAAAATCTCCTCCCCCCCCCTCTAGTTATTTCCGGATCTTTGCAATAATGAAGATAAGAGGTTTTTTTAATGGTGGTTAAGAAATATTAGGAAACACTCATACGGGATATTCACTGTCTTTTACTTTATTGAAATGTATAAATAAGCTTATCTTTGATCAATTATTTCTTTTTAATGGATAACTAAATTTTATCCCATGTTAGAATTAACTATATCAGCTGAAGTAAATGTACTTCATTTTTAAAAAAAAAATATCCTTTTGCTATTGTTTACATCTTAAGGATCTGCATGAAAGAAATATACAATTATGTCATCTAATAGAGCTTTTGCATTGCAACATTTAGGTGTCATTGGTATTCTTGAGTATTTTTTCTTAAAACCAACAAAGTAATTAGACCATATTAGTACATATACCGAGGTAGCGAGACATGTTAGTTTGAGTATTACTTAAAGATAAGTTCAAAGGTAGTGAGCACAAAGAAATTACTTCACAATATTTTTGTGTCAGGTGTTGAAAAGCAGGTTAAATGGAATGATGCTAGTCTTAGGGTATCTTAGTGAGGAACTCCAGTACAGTTTGAATAAACCTCTTAGCACATTGATTACAGCATCTAAACAGATAAAAAAAGATTGGCAATGGATTTTAAAGATTGCTACTAAGTTTCTAGTAAACAATTTGAATGTAGAAGATTTTAAAGGAGTTTTCTGTTGTATTACTGCTGTTTGACTTGAACCACTGCCATATTTAGTACTGAAATTGTACTTGAGCCAAGCGTTCATCAGATGTTTTTTCAAAGTGCCTATTTGTATTACTTTAATATCTTGTTTCTTTTTTTACATTTTCATCATACTATAAGTAATATTGAAAGCTGATATAAAGGAATATAATTTGAAATGCTATCTGGATGAAATGGGGGAAAAAGGGAAGATAAATCAGTTATTAACGATTCTTTCTTTTAACGTGTTTTTGTTTTCTTGTTGCTCCTAACTACTTTTCATATTTCACATGTTTTTCATGTTGCTTGTTCCTATAAAAAAAAAATATTTTCACCTGTAAAATATTTCTAAATTAATTATTACTGACATCATTACATACTTTTTCAGTATCTAGTTTTCTTTGACTATTGATAAATTAAATTTAAAGCAATAATGAATGCCCCCGAAGTAGGAAGAAATAAAAGTAACAAATATTATCATATTTATCATGTATATTTTATATACTTCAGTTTATTGGTAAAATGACTTAGATTAATAAAATTTGGAAAACAAATATCCTCATAATTTAATACAGGGTTCACTGGCATAATTGAAACAAATAAAAGCACATAATTGTATCCATCAATTTCTGAAAGTTTGAATATGTCAACATTCAACATAATTCAAACTTGGCAAGGCCATCACCGAGGAGTTAGCAGTAAGTTGTAATCTCATGGGAACATTTTAAATGAATTCATGAAACATTAGACCATTTTAGGGTTTTCAGTAATGCAGGTTTTTTTTAATGTCCCAAAATCAGGTTTAAATTTTAAACATTATTTAAGTGTGCTCTACTTTATCTGTTGAAATAACATTGACAATAAATTGTACAGTAAATAATTCTCTGGGAAATCAATTGAAAATAATCAGCCTACAATTTGTTTTGTAACCATTTTGTTTACTAGGGTATTTATTTGCATTTAATTTTAATTTTTTTTTTTAAATTTGCAATATTTATTTTGGAAGTGTTAAATAAAAAGGATACAGAAGTATTTAGCAATTTTTATCCAAGGAAAAACTAAACGTTCAATCAGAAGTCATTATTATTTTATACAAATGTGAAAGGCATTTTTGAAGTCAACTTGGGTATATATGAACACTCCTTACAATAGGGTTGTAGCAGACAAGGATGCTATCTTTTCATAAGGTGTTGCTTTAACATCTTCAGGCAACAATTGTTCAATTGCCTAACATCCTTTAGTAGCACCTGGGAGTGTTTTTTTATAAGTAAAAATCATGTCAGAAAGAATACATTTCAAATGGATATGTTGTGTACTTTAAAACAGGACAATTTTTTAATGCTACACTGTGCACATATACACACCCGATTATGAAGTTTCTCAATAAATTAACATCTAATAATAATAATTAACATTTGCTACCCCGCATTCATGCACACATGGACAATATTCTAGTGATGCTTCACTTAAATAGAGCTCACACAGAGGGAACTCTTCAAAGAATATTTAAATCTAACCATTTAGTTCCCTTTCCCAGATCTTTAGCAATATTCTTTTACTGATAACTATAACCAGAATTGTGAACAGCTGATGATTCTAACACGCTTTAATGTTTTAAAAATCAAAGAAATTAATACCCGGATGTGGAAACCTGCAGAGTTTTTGTTTTAGTGACCTTGATTTAACTATGGAATCATAGTTCTGAATCTGAATTAATTTCAGAAATAAGAACCTCCAATAAAGTGACTGCGAGTAAATCAAATAAAAAAAAAACTTCTTAATTTAGCCTATATCAGTATTTTAAGAATTTGAAGCTATTTAGAATAAAGGATAATTTTGAAACTTCCAGGAACTTATGAGGTAAGTTTCATCCCAGATACTTGAGTGGAGGAAAAAAATGAAATTAAATGAACATAAATCTGGATAGGGGTGTGTAATCTTTAAAAAAAAATGCAATCACTGAAGTCAAAAATTGGGAAATAATTCTTTTTCTCTATTGACAAATCTTGTGTACTCCATACTTTTAAAAAACTCCATTCAAATACCCCATCTTTTTTACAAGTTTGTGCTCTACATGCATTTTTTCTGTCTAACAAAGACCGGGTGAGAGGGACCATATTTAGAAAAAAAATATAATGAAATATACCACAATCAATCAACACAGGTAAAAAAAACAAACAAATTCACTAGGAATTAGGAATCTATGAAATAATGGTAGCTACAATATGAGCCGTTATTAATTTGTTATAGACTAGGAGAAAAAAATTAGTTTCAATTAGAATTTTCTTACATCTCCAATAAATGCAGGTTAATCATAGCAATTAATATTAATGTGCTTAATAAATTTAAATTATATAAACATGCCACATAAATTTAAAATGAAACCTTTTTTTAATTTATACTGTTTATGAATTCAATTAAGATTTATAGAACCCTTAAATTATTGTTAATGGACCAAATATAGGCCTGTTAAATCTTAAAAGAAAAGGTGATAATTGAGACTTTGGTTTTTACTTTGAAAATCTCTATAACATGGTCATTCTTAAACCTTTTGACTCAGAGAGCCCTTTTTAAAATCAATTTCTATGGGGAGGCCCCTTATACTTAAAATACTTATATCTTTTAATAATGTCAAGAAGTTTCGTGGAGTGGCCACAGAGCACCTGATAGCGAGTCAATAGAGCACAAATTGGGAATCATTGTTCTAAAATAAAAATTCAAGCAAATGTAATTAAGTTGGATTTTATTTCAGTTTTTTAACACTAAAAATAAAATGTGCACTATTTTTATTTGTTCTTCCTGGGAAAAAAAAAGTTTCTGTTGTTTGGTCAGTTTTAAATTATGACAACAGACATTAAGTGTCTGCCAGCTTGGATATTGCATTGTGCCACAGAATGGGAACTCATTTGAAAAAAAAAAAAAATTGAGAAAAAACAAACATGGCATGAGGAAGATAATAATTAACAAAACATCATGACAGATATCTATCACATTGTAAAAATCATCAGGAGTAACAGTAAATAATTTCACAGCAGCTGCCAATCAAGAAGTCCCTAATTACATCATCATTTTTAAAGTAACCAAGAGCTCATCATTTTTATTCTAATGCAGAGCTCACAATTGTTAATGTAATACAGAGAGCACAACAAAAATATGTATAAGAAGTAACAATTTTACCACTTATAAAAATCTCTCAAAGGACTGTTTGAAATACTTTGTTCTTTAATAATAATAATAATTCTATTTAAAAAATATCTAAATTTGCCTAAGCGTTTGGTAACTAAATCCAATGATGGTAAATCCATGTTCATTATCTACTGGTTCAAGTTTTGACATTCACGACCAACACTCTTGTTTTCCAGCTAAAAATAGATCCAATATATACTATTTTCTGGGTTGGGCAAGATAGTTACTTCATTTATTACCTGTAGACCAACAAATTACACTTTTAAAAAAATAATTCCATTTTGTGTAAAATTTTGCATGCTATGAAGCAGGAACAGAACCAAAAAGCCTATCGAATATAAACTGTTGTCAGCATTACACAAGCTCATTATATAATTATTGTCCCCCACATGCTTTTAACTCTCAGAGATAAGGTTTCACAATTCAAAATTCTGCCTTGATTCAAATGTCTATCTCTGTTATTTGCTAAAGCCTGGGTATTTGTTGTTATTGGGTGATCCCACAGGAGAAAGTTGGGGTTTGGAAATGAAGGATTGTGTTGACGGAGATAAGACACTGATGGCAGGCTCCATGGAGGCCCAGATTTTGGCCAACTGCGAATAAACAAGAAAAAACTTAATTTACATACTGTTAATTAAAAAACAAAACAAATGTTTCCTAGTTTGTAGTGTGGTAAAAATGAAAATTAAAAACTTTAACTTTATATGCATTAATATTCCACAAGAAAATAAAATTTAAATTTTAAAAAATTTTCTGGGCAGTTATCCTTAAGTTGTCTATGAAGTGGCCAGGTTTACTCACATCGTCATTGGTTGCGGTCTCAACCCTTGCCATACATGAAATAATTTCATAAAAAATATCCAAATGTGCATTGATCAACTGTGTCTCCATCTGCAAGCAGTGCAAGGAGTAGTAGTTGCGGTTCTCCATGTTGGCAATCTCACCTTCTTGCTGTGAACAAAGAAATATTCACCATAACAGACTTCTCATCATTTTTACTTACTTCATTCTGTTACATAAGGGGTGATAACTAAAATTACTTTTTCTATCTGCCATTGTTTCACTTATGAAAATGAATTAGAATTTATAATGGTAATGTTTTAGCACAAAGAATTTCTTTGTAAGAGGAAATTTTTTTTTGTGTGCTTTATATTACAGATAACAATATCTAGATTTTGAACCATATAGGCGTACCTCGAGTATTTTCTGTTCTAACTGGTCAACAGCTCCTGTCTGTTGGTAAAGTAACAGATATGTTCAGTTAATAAAAAACAACATTGAACAATTACATGTCACAGGTTATTAACATTCAAATTCTATCAGTACTAAAGCAAAATATAATTTTTCTGTGGAAAATGAAAATGTGGATGGTGTGAACACAAATTTTAATACCATGACAAAGACAGCCAGGCCCATAAAACTTCCACCAGTCAAGCTAATTTAAGTCAATGGACTCACAGAAAGGCTATTTATTGTCATCCATTCCAATTTTCTGGATGTAGTCTAAAAGTGAAAATTATCTTCCACATTAAAAAACACTCATGGGTGCTTCTGAGGCATTTACATGAATTGCAATCACACCTCTCTTGTCACAGGAGGGGTGAAAGCAATAAATCTTGAAAATTATTTGACTGAACATTAGTAGATATTTGGACCATACCACAAGCTAACTGAAGTCTATTGTGGCACTTTGAGTGGTTAAGACAAATATGCCACTCATAAACAGATGAGTATAAATGATTTTAATTGTGTTGCACTCTGGCAAATGAAAGCAGTTTCTACATACTTACATCAGAACTCTGTACAGTGGCAGACATTTTCTTTTTCTTATATTGCCCCATCTTTTGTATAGCCTTCTGGTGGTCGTGCAGCACACCTTTTTCATGTCTGTCACACAAATCCTGGCGGAATGAATTCCAAGTTTTAGAACTTAATGGTGTTAGCAAGCCCTGAGAGGTGTCGTATGCCAGAGTTGAATGAAATTTGCTATGCCCTGAAGCCCACACACAAACTGGATTAAAGATGACAACTTTGTCAACAATGATTTGTAGAATAAGGTGAATCTTGAAAAATCTCAGTGTTTTATTTCCAAGTTTGTATTTACTACTTTACCTCAACATTCTTACTTACTTTATAGGCCGTGATAAGGTCCTGAAAAAATGATAACTTTTCAACAACACCATCTTCTTCATCTACAGCCTAAGATAATGACAAATGTAAAGATTAGTTCATAATCTTTACTGAAAAATTATATTTATAACCATTTTAGTCATAAAACATAATTTCAAAAGCTATTAAATTATAAAAAAATACAAATTAAACATATATATTACTTCATGTGTATTTCAACATTACATATTATTTACATTATGTTGTAAAATCTTGAAGACTTAATGCAGCAAACAATTTTTGCTGAATTATGAATTTATCTTCTAATGGTTTAGATATGAAGTCTATAAACAAGGTGAAGGTCATCTTACGGCTTGAGTGGCTTTGTCTGAGAGGGATGCAAACTCCACTGAGAGTAGACGAAAGCCTTTCTGAAGACGATCCCACGTCTTGCTGGCACCTGTGGCCCATGTAGTGATTGGTGTAGAGTCATTGCTCACAATACTACAGATATTTAGAATCAATGGGCTCAGCTTCATTATTTTTAAAAGTACAAAGGATGATGAACAGGTGAAGCTTAACCAAAGACAGAATCAGACAATGATGAAGTAGGTGAAGCTTAACTAAAAACAGAATCTGACAATGATGAAGTAGGTGAAGCTTAACAAAAACGGGATCAGACAATGAGCATTTCATTAGAGAACTGAAGAAAAAAATTCTTTCAAATTAATTTTTTTATTCCGTCAGGTTAAGTTTTAACCTTTTTGTCATCCTTTGATCTTATAAAATAATCTTAAATGATTTTTAAAATGAATAAGTCACTAACACAAATCATCAAAATAAATGGGAGAAAAAAAGACGCCATTTTCAAAAATAAATTTTTTCTTCTTTGATTAAAAGGATACTTCATTATTGAATTTTTAAATGATTAAATCTATGGTGAGAACGGTACTATAAAGTTAAATATTATGAGTATCTTTTTAAAACATCTATAGCATTGACTTTCAGCTTCACCCAGATTACAAGAGAATTTTATGACTATGAAAAAATTTAATCAATCAAAATTGTATAAATTTGTGTTTTACCTCAGCTGCCTGCCCAGATGCAGCATGTCAGTTGCAAAAAGGGTTGATCTCATCACCATGCCTTCAGCTATGTCTTTTAACCTGGTTACAGTTTCATACACTAGTTTAATGTGTTCTTTACTTGTGGCCAACTGTTGCTGGGTGTCCATTGGGACAAGATCCTATTAAAAAAAAACAAATATATTTTTTGATAGACCGATTCTTGTTTTCTTTAAACAAAAACTTTCAAAATTTTCAAGTCAAATAGCACAACGAAGTGAAATTTTGTGGACTGTTTTGGTACAAAACATGTTCAAGCATGCGCAAAATAGTGTTATTTCAAGAAATAGTCATGAATAACTTAAATATATGGCTTGTAGGAATATTATTTTAAAAACATACCATTGCATTTCAATGAATCATTATTTAGTATTGATCTGGTAAAATATACATTGCTTATGTGATTAGGGGGTCTTCTGCTTCATAAATTTAAAAGAAACGGGAACGAACTTGAATACATCAAAAAAATAAATAAACTAATAATTTAAAAACAAAAACATTATTGATAAATAATGATGATGATGTTTCTTGATGTTTGTCCCTACCAAGTGTTTTGGTAATGAGAATCATTTAAAGTAATTAAATACTAAAATCTTCCTGACTTTGATATGCTCTACAGCACAGCTGTCATAATATATTGTTTACAAAAAAAAAATTTTCTTCTAAAATGTGCATTCATTACTTTTTCCAACAGTTATTTTTGGTTGTAACCTTTTCTATAGCAATGGCACTGGCTTTTGCAAATTATGAAGCAAAAAAAATTATAGTGTTGTTTTTTTTCTCAAAACAATTATAGATTATAGTCGCTTATCCATACCTTAGCTCTACTGGCCATGTCACATGTCATAAACTCATCAGGTATTCCTCTAAACTGTTCTTTTATTTTGTGCTGCACATCCTTAAAAAAATATGAAGATAATAAAAAATACCTATAAGGATATATCTATATGAAACAATAAGTATAGATATTGAGCTAATCAATTAGAAAATTATAACTGCCTTTTGTTAATTATTTTTTTAAAGATGGCTGCTGCAGTGCCATTATACCAAAATGCAATTTAAATAATAAAATTGAATAAAAGATTGCAAACACTGCAATCTTACTTGTTTTCCATACTCAAGGATTTATGACAATTGATAACTGCTTGTTATTGCTTGTATAATTCTCTACTTTACCCAATGTGAGTCGCTTTGAAATATCCTAGTTTTGAAATCTTATTCACTAAATTTTCAGCATGTAAAATCAGAAAAGTACATAATCAGAATGATTTCTAAAATTGAATCTCAAAAAACTATTTCTTCTTAAATAGACTTACATTTCCTGCAAATGTCAAGAAAAATGTGACCAGCTTATCATCGTGCATTTGTGGATGCCTGGCAATTATATTTAGGTATCTTCTCAAGCATTTCTTGCGTTGTTCGATGAATTCTCTAGAAGCTGGAAGTATAAATCATGAATTTCTTAAACAAAAAATAAAACACAGTATGCTGTTATAAAAAAAAGGAATAAACTTTGTAATTATTGTTTGTTGTCACATCGTAGTGTCAGTCATGCAGTTGTATATATAATAATTAATAGTATAAAATTCTTAATAAAAACCAACATGTCTTGACAAGCTCCTGGGACAAAGTCTATTTACGGTAGCTATTTAATTTTTAATTTTTCTTGAATGCAAAAAATGGCCTCTGTTTTGTTTTTTGTTTTTTTTACAAGTTGACTCAGTAAATGAGAAAATTCTTGGTCAACAGTAATATGCACATGACTGTTAAGTGCTTTCTTCAATTGATCATAAGTTATTTACTAAAGGCAGAAACCATAAACTTATGCAGTCAAACCTGATTATTTCGCCGGCCTCTGGGTTTACCAAAAAGCGTCGCGATAACCGATGATCGATATGACCGAAAACCAATAAGGCGGCAATATATTAACATGTGCTTGAAGTTTCTTTATGAACATGATGTGCTTTTATAAATGAGAATGTATATGCAATTGTTTTTGGAGTCTTTTTTGTTAAACAACAGCGTTACTGCGATTTGTTTGATGAAGCGATCGGCATGCTATAAAAATGTACATACATGTTTGCTAACAACACAAGGCATAACTGGGGTGTCACTTTTCCGAATTATACGGATTCATGAGGCTAAATTTTATTTTTCAGCTCCAGATTTGCGAGTTTTTATTTTCTCTCGCTCCGGATTTGCCAGTTCAGTTTATTCAAATACGGATTCTGTATTTAAAAAAAAATTAACGTGTAAGAACATGTGAAAGCCTATTAAGTGACAACGGGTTTGCTATAAATAGAACAGGTACTACAACCTCTCTCTTTTGTTTGCAAGCCTCTTGTTCCTCGCTTCTTGCTGTGTCAAGTTAATTCCGCAGACAACAATATTGTCATTTCATTCCAATTAATACAGTTTGAAGTAGGCACGTTTTTGTTGTATATAATTTTCAAAAGCAGGCGATTCGTCATGGGGATCGAGATAACCGAGGTTAAGTGGCAAATCTGGCCACCTTTTGTGCTTGAGATATCAGGGTTCTGCGACATAACAGAGGAGGAAATGCTAAGACAAAGAGAGAATTTGGCGGTTCCACTTCAAAAACTTTGACATAACAGGGTTGGTGAGTTAACCGAGGTCGAGATAAGTGGGTTTGACTGTATCTGTTAAGATTGAATATGCCCTATATAAATGTTCTGAGGCTATCATAAGTAGTGCTCTCAAAGATGCTGCTTGCAGCCAGTGTAGCATTCCTTCAGGTGGAGGTTATAGTTATGGTAATAAGGTGAGAGACTGCAATCAGGTTAGCAAAAAAGGAAATTAAGTAAAACAAAGCATGGTATAACCTGAAAAATGGAATGCAACAAAACAACGAATGTGTCGGCAGGAAACTTTTGGGAGCCAACAAACAACAGCAAAAAAACGGAGTTAAATTAAAAAATAGCACCTAGCTGAGAAGTAGTATCCAAGAGGGCAACAAAACAATTAATAATCTTCAAGATGCTTTCACAAATTAATTTATCGGTTGGAGGACCAGACATATTTAATTATTTAATAAATCTTATTGTTTTCTTTTCTTTTTTTTTTATTTAAATGTACAAATTAAATCAACAATTGGATAATACATTATGTACATATGTGTCTATTTTACTTAACATTAGAGAGAGTTATAAGAAGCATACATATTGACACCCGAGGAACAATAACAGGATTCAGAATGCCAAATGACATAGGAGTGAAGAGGGTGCCTCATCAAAACCCCAGAGGAAAACAGCTCAAAGGCAGACCTAGGCTTAGATGGATGGATGATGTGGAAAAAGATCTACAACAACTAGGAATCCGAGCATGGAAAAGAAAAGCATTAGTTAGGTCTGAGTGGAAGGAAGTAGTGAGGCAGGCCAAAGCCCTACATGGGATGTAGCGCCCCAGGATGGATGGACATACATGTCTATATCTCCTCATTCATAATTTTGCTTTAGTCATAACTGAAGCTGATAAATTTTATATATTGTGCACTTTTCAATTTAAAAATTTGTATACTTTTTAAAAAGTCTTTTATGTTATAAAGCAATTTTTGACAGACTTGCAAAGAAAAAAAATGAACTTAAAATATATTTTAAGTACCTCCAATTTTTTTTGGTGGCAGTCTTGGAATAACCCTGTATGCAAACCTGGCCGTTAGCAGTTCATGGAGAGCAACAAAATCATTGTAACGACGCAGCACTGTTGTTTTGTGTCTCTATAAGAATAAAAGAGTGTATAGTGCTGCCATTACTTTTAGTGTTCATTTAAAGAAAGTGTAAATAAAGATTCTTAAATTGCTATTGTATTTCTTAGGTGTATGACATCATGTGTATTAATGATAGCTAGTCAGCAAATAAACATCTATATTCTATTAGAAATGTTTCATGTTTGATAATTTTTTTTCATGGTTCATGCTGAAAATCTAAAATTATGTATCAAATCTATGTATTTGTATTCATATATCCACTTTATATATTTTAAAACTTCTATACATATTTAAAAATAATTTACATTTAGTTTACATTCAGTATGACAGTATGAAGATAAAATTGAAAGCATAGTGGAAAAATTGCTTAAAATTTAAATTTGTAAGTTAGGATCTTACCTTACTTGTTACTTCATACTCAACATGTTTAAGAATAATTCCCTTTTTCTCTGGAACCAGCTCTAACTTTATTGAGTCAATTTCACATAGTTCCTTGAAGTCAAAACATAAAACATTAGGAGTGCGTTCTCTCCTTAATTTTAAACTTGAAGCTTTCAGGTCAGATAAGTCACCAAGAGATGGCTTCGGTAACTCTGAAAATTCAAAGGCACATTTTTATATTATATCATGCTAATTTCTTCACTAATTTACAGTGATTAAATTTAATAAAATATAAACTTTCACATTTTTTCAAAAATATTATTTAGAAGAAAAATTTACTAATATCATAAAATTAACGAAATAAATAAATAATTAGCCTGCTTTTTTTTTTTTGGCTTTAAATTTATTATTTACAATTTCCCAAATAAAAGACAAACAAGTTTTTAAAAAATGTAAAAAGAGAAATAACAACTCTTTTAAAATTAATATAATAATAATACAACACTTACCCTGACCGGAAAAGGTCTCCAACAATTTATCGTTAATAGATTTTCCTTGCTGAGCTAAGGCCGTCAAAGCCAAAGCTTTGTACAAACCATTTCTAGTCATGAAACCTTGCTGTGTGTCCACAAGGTCCCATATCTGCAAGAAAATTAATGTAATTATATATATATTTATAAGTAAGTCTACATCAATCAACCCTCCTAATTTTAAGCTGTGTGCAACATAATTTTTTTTGGGTAAATTCCAAGTAGGGCTATTTAGGCAGGATATAGTCACTTGGTAGCTAGATGTGTAGTCTATATTGCATGAATTCCAAGGTTGTGGACCGAATTTCAAATCCCAGCAAAAGCCTAGACAAGAAAATACATCATCAGCACTCCAGATCCATGGGACCCGTTAATCTTGGATGGCAACTCATCTAAGAGAAGGCAAACTCTGAATTCAAACCTAGAGATAGGGTCCCGTAGGCTGTACGACATTAACTTAATAAAAATTCCGGAAACTCCTGTGACTCTACTGGTTTCAAACTGTATCATTCAAATGCTATATTCCTTTGGGTTCTCCAGATGTGTGGAGGGAGGTAAATTTCTGTCTTAGGGAACTTGCAAACCCTCTTAAAGAATAATTCATCTGCAAAGTCTACACCATCGTCACATTGTGAGGGATGGATGCAAAAAAAAAACAACCTCACTTGAATATATTTAACTTTGATTAGTTATTATTTTTTAGCTTCAATTTTCTCTTTACACTCAGGGAAATATCACCTGAAACTTTGATCTTTAAAAATTTGATACTGCATGCATCTTAATTTGATTTGAATGAGAGTCCACAATGAATTGCCAAGATTGCAAGGATATAATATATTGGAATTGTAATTGATGATCTTTGAAAAATTTTTCATTTTAATTTGTTTTTGTCATCTTGAATTGATCATTTGATTTATTTATGAATTATTTAAGTTTAAGTTATTTATCAATATTTCACCATTTCAATTCATAATTGTGGTATAAGCAATTGAATTGCCTTCAAAATACAACTTTTTTGGAGAGAAATTTATTCATATTCATATCAATAATCAATATATAATATATATGTATAATAATATATATTAGAAAAAAACGCTTATTATGTAACTTATTTATTATTTTTTAGTGTAGGCCAATTACTAATTCCTTGTGAAAATTAAATGGCTATAATTATATATATATATACCTCTGACTCTGACTAATTCTAAGACAAGAAGACACACCCACTTTTAAGTAAGAGTTGCAAGTTCTTACTGTACTTTGAAGGTTTAATTTAAAAAGTTAGCTTTATTGGTTTAGTCTTATATTTGCAAATATCACAGGGTTAATATTTACTCTCAAATTTTTACAAGCCACTTTAACAGTAAATGATGTCAACTTACTTGCATAATAGTTTGTTTAGGAAGACTGGATTTTACAAGCAGCTGCACAAAAAGATCGCGGTCAACTTGCTCTTGATTTGGGGACACGATGTCATACACCTCCCGATAAAACGGGGGAATAGAGCCTGAAAATTAAGTTGAGTTGCACATTTATAAATAAATACATATACTTTTTTAAAAATCCTTTTAATTTGGATTTTAACGTATTAAATGAAAGTAGCAACATACCGAAGACAAGATCGGCTGTCATCTTGATAAGTCATGTGACACAATGTTGTGAAGTGACACAAGGCTGAACTTGGCAATAACATTTTGTAAAACTGGGATTACTTTGCCCGTAAACACGATAGCCAAAATTGCAACTCCATAACGAAATAATAATGTGGCCATTCAGTAATTTATTATGCCCCGAAAATGTAGGATTGCTTTCATTTCTAGAGCCTATTATCATTGTTTATTATCATAAAATTGATAAGAAGTAGATGTACTATTTTTATTTTTTACGCTTTGAAATGGATTTTTATTTTAAACAAAAATAGAAAATTAAATAATATAGTTGATCTAAAATTAATAAAGGCGAGGTATCTGGAATAGGGATTTTAATAAACTTTAAAAAAAAGTTGTTTCATTTTCTTTCTTTTTTTTGGGGGGGGGGGGGAAGGGGGCCGCAAACATGTTTTTGGTGTTAACCCCCCCCCCCCCCCCGCCCCCAAACCCCCCCCGCTCAATATTAAATTTTATAAAGGATTTATACGAAAAACTGTTT